ATACGAGTTACCGCCCTTGCCCCTTCTCCTAATCTCGACGTTTGACTGGTCGGCAAAATGGCAACGCGATCAAGGGCGGATCTGTCCATGAGCTAGCAGTGGCGGATCCAGAGGGGGGGTTCAGGGTGTTCGAACACACACACCCACACCCTGAAAATGACTTAAGATCACATTGAAGAAATTTGCGGGAGCCAATGGGGGGGGGGGGTAGGGGGTTCGGATGGGTTATTTTTTTTTTTGGAACCCCTGAACCCCCTCCTTTCAAAATTCCTGGATCCGCCCATGGCTAGCATTCAGAAGCATTCGTCCCTGTGGACATTTTTAAAAATTTAATGATTTGAAAACACGTTTCTCGTAGGCGGTTTTAGGAATGTCAAATTTAAAAAAACCCCAAAACATCTGTAAGCTAATTACTGTTACTGATAATTATAATATAGCAATTCAAATGAGTGAGTTGGGTTTCAGGCTGTTCTTAGCAATATGCCAGCAATACCACGGTGGGGGTCACCACTAACGGGCTCCACACATTGTACCCATGTGGGGAATCGAACCCAGGACTTGGTCATGGCGAGCGAATGCTTTAACCACTTGGCTACCCGCCGCCCCTCTATCAATTCAATTGTGTACAGATTCCTCAGACCGACTATCCGTTGGTTGGGTTTTGACAATGGCCATGATGACTCTTGCAACCTTGATTTCTCCCTTAAAAATACAATCTTCTGAAAATTTGTAATACAGTTCACTTATTGACATTTGATGTGGCAGTGTGAAATACTCATCACATAGTGGTATATGTTAGTCAGCATGGTGATGATGGAAATACCAAACAATTGTTGAAATGTTACTTTCTATTAGTGTTGGGATTTGGTTAAAATCTCATAATTGATGATTGGTTCATTACCACCGATCAATCATCGAAAATAATTGGTTAGCGTCATTTATGAAATTTGTTAATGCACAAAAAATAAAGCAGTTATTTTTGTTTTTTTTGGCAAAATTTCACATCTTTAAAGGATGACTAGTATGTTAGGAACATAAATTTCTTGGTGTCTTTAAGATAAATTCAATCATGAGCTTGTAGTGCTTATGAAATGTAACAGACAAAACCAATCTTGTGAAAAACATTGTTGATGAAAACAAGTGTTCCAGAATTGTTTGTGTTCGATTATGAGAAAACATGATCGATTGCTTGATTGCTTAGTCACTGCGACCAATCTTCGATTATTTCAATTAATCGGATCACCACTACTTTCTATGAAATCTGGATATGCATTGCGATATACAATAATGCTTCAAGCAAAGTGATACAGTCCTCCAACTTTGTGTAACATTTTGCCATGACCCTACATACAAATAATATCGGCCATTTCATTCCAAATACCCTTGTTATGCTTTTGAGGCTTAAAACACCTGTGTCTTTCTCGCTCAGACTGCTGACTGAAAATGTATTGTGCCTGAAATGATATAATATAATTATTGTCTGAACGTAAATTTCATTATTTGAAAAACATATATAAACCAGTGTTAATTTTAATGCACTCCTCCAACCCGTACCCACCCCTACTTGTGATGATCCTTTGGAAAACCACATAATTTAGACATACTTTTTGTGACTCAATCCCAAACTAGAAAAACACTGATAATAAATTACAAGTCCCTGAATACTCAATGTCAATGCTTAGTTTAAAAAAAAATGAAATGTATCGCTGTATGCATACAGGGTATCAAACCCATGATTATGTCTTTTTTCAAACACTGCATCATATAATGTCAAAGTCTGTGACCTCTACAGTATATCTTTTATCCTTAAAGGTAGCCATTGAGTGACACCCCAAAGCTGAAGACCTGAATATAATGGAGTGAGTGAGTGAGTGAGTGAGTGAGTGAGTGAGTGAGTTTAGTATTACACAGCAATATTCCAGATATATGGTGGGGTCTGTAAATAATCAAGTCTGGACCAGACAACCCAGTGGTCAACAGCATGAGCATCGATCTACGCAATTGGGAACCGATGACATGTGTCAACCAAGTCAGCGAGCCTGACCACCCGATCCCGTTAGTCGCCTCTTACGACAAGTATGGGTTACTGAAGATCAATATTCTAACCCGGATCTTCACGGGTTGAAATATAATGGAAATGCTGTTCTGCACATGACATGGGTTACAAGTACAAGCCATGTATAACCAGGGACAGAACTGAACAGAAGTCTGTAGATTCAGGAATCATGAAAATAGACAAACTGTGGTTGCTATCTCCCCAAACCTAGATATTTTAGACACAACAGCATACAATTCTGTATAGATTAGTGCTGGACAGAAAAACTCTGGGAGCTTCACACGAAACCAGAAACACTTAGTCCAGCTATCACTGGATAACAGTTGTTTTAACAATTGGTCCAACACTTGGCCCAATAATCCCTACACAACACTTGGCCCAATAATCCCTACCCAACACTTGGCCCAATAATCCCTAGCCAACACTTGGCCCAATAATCCCTACCCAACACTTGGCCCAATAATCCCTACCCAACACTTGGCCCAATAATCCCTACCCAACACTTGGCCCAAAAATCCCTACCCAACACTTGGCCCAATAATCCCTACCCAACACTTGGCCCAATAATCCCACCCAACACTTGGCCCAATAATCCCTACCCAACTCTTGGTGCAACTATCACAATATAACACTCGATCCAACTATCACCAGATAATTGGTTGTTCAGGCATCACTTGATATCACCAAGTTATCACTAAATAACACCTTATCAGTCTATCACCAGATAGCACTTGGTCCAACTATTTTCACATAACACTTAATCAAAGTATGTCTTGATAACACATGGTCCAACTATGTCTTGATAACACATGGTCCAACTATGTCTTGATAACACATGGTCCAACTATGTCTACATAACAGATGGTCCAGCTATGTCTTGATAACACATGGTCCAGCTATGTCTACATAACACATGGTCCAGCTATGTCTGGATAACAGATGGTCCAGCTATGTCTACATAACAGATGGTCTAACTATGTCTACATAACACATGGTCCAACTATGTCTTGATAACACATGGTCCAACTATGTCTACATAACACATGGTCCAGCTATGTCTACATAACACATGGTCTAACTATGTCTGGATAACACATGGTCCAACTATGTCTACATAACAGATGGTCCAGCTATGTCTACATAACACATGGTCCAACTATGTCTTGATAACACATGGTCCAACTATGTCTACATAACAGATGGTCCAGCTATGTCTACATAACAGATGGTCCAGCTATGTCTACATAACACATGGTCCAACTATGTCTTGATAACATATGGTCCAACTATGTCTACATAACAGATGGTCCAGCTATGTCTACATAACAGATGGTCTAACTATGTCTACATAACACATGGTCCAACTATGTCTTGATAACACATGGTCCAACTATGTCTTGATAACACATGGTCCAATTATGTCTACATAACAGATGGTCCAGCTATGTCTACATAACACATGGTCCAACTATATGTACACATAACAGATGGTCCTCTTGAAGCTATGTCTTGATAACACATGGTCCAACTATGTCTACATAACAGATGGTCCAACTATGTCTTGATAACACATGGTCCAACTATGTCTACATAACAGATGGTCCAACTATGTCTTGATAACACATGGTCCAACTATGTCTACATAACACATGGTCCAACTATGTCTTGATAACACATGGTCCAACTATGTCTACATAACAGATGGTCCAGCTATGTCTACATAACAGATGGTCTAACTATGTCTGGATAACACATGGTCCAACTATGTCTGGATAACACATGGTCCAACTATGTCTGGATAACAGATGGTCCAGCTATGTCCGGATAACACATGGACCAACCATCACCAGATAACAGATGGTCCAACCATCACCAGATAACACTTGGTCCTACTATTTTCACATAACACTCAATCAAAGTATGTCTTGATAACACATGGTCCAACTATGTCTACATAACAGATGGTCTAACTATGTCTGGATAACACATGGTCCAACTATGTCTGGATAACACATGGTCCAGATGGACCAGCTATGTCCGGATAACACATGGACCAACCATCACCAGATAACACATGGACCAACCATCACCAGATAACACTTGGTCCAACTACCTCCATGTAACTCTTAGTCCAACTATTTCTAGATAACACATTCTCCAATTGTAACCAGATAACACTTGGTCCAACTATCTCTACATAACATTTGGTCCAACTATCTCAAGTTGTCACTTGGTCCAACCATCTCTACAAAAGCCGCCATATAGCTGGAATATTGCTGAGTGCAGCGTAAATCTAAACTCACTCACTCTCTACAAAACGTTTGGTCCAACTGTCTCAAGTTATCACTTGGTACAACTATCTCTACATAACGTTTGGTCCAACTATCTCAAGTTATCACTTGGTCCAACCATCTCTAAATAACACCTGGTCCAACCATCTCTAAACAACACCTGGTCCAACTATCTCAAGTTATCACATGGTCCAAACATCTCTAAATAACACCTGGTCCAAATACCTCAAGTTATCACATGGTTCCACCATGTCAAGATAACATTTGGTTCAACTATCTCAAGTTATCACTATCACCAGTTATCAGTTCATCAAACTATTTCTATATAACACTTGGTCCAATTATCAGCAGATAACAAATTATTCAATCATCACTAGATATCACCAAGTAAGCACCAGATAACACTTGATCCAAAGACTGTCGAACTCTTGGTCCAGCTTTCACTAGATATCACTTGGTCCACCTATCACAAATGATCCAGGCTTGATAATACAGTTGATTCAAACACCCCCAGATATCAAAAGGTCCAAATACACCCAGACAACATTTTGTCTATATACACCCTCGCCAAGACTTGTTCGTGATACACCCTCACAACACTTTTCCAATTATCTCAGAATATCCTCTCAAAATGTTGAGTCTGGGCCACTGGTTTATTCGGCATCGGTTGTGGAATCGAATCGGACCCTGCGTCTCGGCGGTGCCAGATACTCAAACATTGACGTTGTATGCCGCGACAACATCGGCATCAGATCCGCTGGCATCGGATCCATCCAGAAGAAATCGTGATTCAGAGAAGTATCACTGTCAATCCTCTTTGACGGGTCAAGGGTCAAAAGTTTATCCAAAAGGTCAAGGGCATATTGATCCTTCACATACGACTTCAACCTCTCCTTCACCTTCCGTTTCTGACTTTTTGGTAGCTCCAGTTTATCGTACAGTTCCAGCTTCTCAACGCCTGGCCAGACTTCGGGTGAGATCGAGCCACATAGCTGAGTAATTAGCAACAGTTGATGCTGCTCTGTGTTTCCCTGCATGATCGGACTCCGAGTCCACATCTCCGCCATGATGCACCCCGCCCCCCACATATCAATAGCTGGCCCATAGTTCCTCTCCCCCAGCAGGAGTTCCGGGGGCCGGTACCACAGTGTCACCACCCTGTTGGTGTACCGGTTTGGCTGGCCTGGTTTTGTGGCGCTGAAGGCTCTGGCAAGTCCGAAGTCGGTCAGCTTCAAGATGCCGGTTTTAGTGATGAGGATGTTGGCTGCCTTCATGTCGCGGTGGAGGATCTTGTTGCTGTGGATGAAGTAGAGGCCGTTGAGGAGCTGCTGCATGACCTTCTTGACCTCCCCCAGGGTGAACTTGACATTGGCATTGCTCAACAAGCCAGCAAGGTCGTGTTCACAGAACTCGAATACAAGGTAGAATGTGCTCTTGAATCTGTTGTAGGGGATACTGAACGAAAAAACAAAGTTATTGCCCTTTTCATATTTAATTTGTAACTTTGTTTTATGCCGTTTTACTAATAATCCAGCAATATCGCAGCGGGGGACACCAGAAATGGGCTTCACACATTGTACCCATGTGGGGAATCGAACCCAGGTCTTTGAAAGCAAACGCTTTAACCACTAGACTACCCCACCGCCCCTGTACCAAATGAACAAATAAAATCAAATGTCTGTCAGTAAAATCTGAAGAGGCTGCAAATTTTTTGACAAGATCCTAATAATGCTTCAGAGGTGAGGGTGATTTTGGAAAGTGGGTTTAACGTCATCTGATTCTCTGCTGGAGAATATATTTCGTACATATCAGTTCCCAAGGGAAGATACATCCAGCTGCATGTGTATGTTAATATGCGGCTGCTTGTACTAGCCCAGATTTAAGCTGGTTTTATAGTGCTAGCCCACTGGAGATACCATGTTTTGAGCAGTGAAGCATGAATACATTGAGAGTGGTTTGCCCCACTCAGACACATTATACTTGACTCCGAGCCGAATGTCATTTTGTCCTTGATGTACGATCCATTAATGCCGAACATGGCCGGTAAGATAAAGGCACGTTGGGACCAACAAGTACCATATTATAACGCTCTTTTATGACACGCTACGCCAGGATCGAACTAGGCGACCATTTCTCTGACATGGACGTTTAACCACTGACACCATGGAGGCTGTAAGAACCCAGACCTGTAAAATGATCAGAATGTGTAGGCCCTATATTTTAATATGGAAATAATGCTCTTAGTTATTGGGGATGAAAAAGCTGTCGGCCATAAGGAATTGCTGAAAACAAAAATTGTGGGTCCGAGTGGTTTTCAATCAGGTTCAGGCCAAAGGACCGACGTTAATTTTGAATGCTGTGAATACTCATTCACTACCAGGTGATCCAAAGCTTTAGTCACTTGCCTAAGGTAACAACATCATATACAGGACTGAATTTGTATCAGTTGTGCCTGAAGACACTCTCAAAGTTATACAGGTGTGCTCACTGGTGCTGTAGTGTATCAAAAAGACTTTGATCTGACTTCCCACCTGGCAGGGGTGGAAATAACTTTAAAATTGCTAGTGTACTCCGGTACAGTGGCACATGTAAAATCACTTGCCCTGATGATTTTTCCACTATACCGGCCGTTTTCTTTTTCTGATTTTTTTAAATAAACAACATAATTAACACTTGAAAGTCAACTGGACACCCGTACAGTGTGATATACAAATTTGCTTGCCCGACAGAAAAAAACACTGGACTCGGACGTCGGTCAATGGGTTATTTCCACCCCTGCCTAGAGTATGCCTTTTCACTGCAAACTAGACAAAACATTATATCTCCTGTATCTTTATTGAGCTTGATAACATCCTATTCAGTCCGAATCCCAAGGCACATTTTCAAACATCAAGCTGTGGAGCTATTTCGGTTCTACTAAATCAGAATTACTTTCTCGCTGAGCCAGTGCGTATGTAAACATCTGAAGAGATAGCGACCGGCGACAGCTGTGATTGGATGAAATAGTGTAAGATGTTCATGTTTTTTAAAAGTACATCAATCCAGTAATAAAATTTAAGTATTTAATGCAGTCATTTTTATCACCATGAGTTGTGCTTATGTCTGTGCAGATATTTTCAAGTAGGTGGCATTAGTGCGGAACAGGGGTTGATGTGTTCAGTTTCCTTGGCTTGGAGACTTGGCAGGACAATTTAGCCGAAAATTGTGTTTTTATTGTAGTTTAAAGGCCAGACTGTACCCATGTGTACATGGAATGGCTGTTGATAGCCTGGATAATTAAAAAAAATTACGTTACTATAGAAGTCTATGGGAAAACATTTGGTGTTGTGTAACCTGTAGATCTATTATCAATACCAGTAACTAGAGTTATCTCCCTTAGACTATCAGCTGGTTCCAGTGAATGTTTGTTCTTATTTTAGAAGTTTGCACATTAGCTTTTGTATCGGAGAGGTTTACCACCTGTTGAAACAAACACAAATTAATACCCCAAGCCAATTCTGAACACACATCAGTACTCTAGCATGAATACAATCCCCACAGGACCCGTGAAGATCCGGGTTAGAATTGGTCTTCAGTAACCGGTGCTTGTCGTAAGAGGTAACTAACGGGATCGGGGGTCAGACTCGCTGACTGGGTTGACATATGTCCTTGTATCCCAATTACGTAGACAGATGCTCATACTGTTAATCACTGGATTGTCTGCATTGTGTGACATAGTTTCCAAATTCTGCTATCCAGTCGGGCTAGCTATGCCTGAAAGTTACTAGCCCACAAAATAATTCACAAGCCCAAAATCTGAATGTAGAAATTAAGCAAAAGATTACAAAAAGGTAAAATACCATCAAAAACAAACGACCCCCATGAAAATTCACTAGCCAGTCGGGCCAGTGATTTACTGGCCCAACTGGATTTTTACAAGCCACGGGTTAGCGGGCCAGTGGCTATTTTGCACACTGATGCTCTGGGCCATACTTGATTATTTACATGTAGCGGGAGTATTGGCAAGTGCAGCATTAACCAACCAACCAACCAACCAACCATTCCCCACAGTGCACTGGACTTCACCTGTTTTATAATTTTTTTAAACAAATCAGTTTGTTTCAGGCTAAGACCAATCCATATTTTAGAAGTATCTGGTGCCATTCTGTGTTTTGATTTCAGCTTCAGATGTCTTCGTACAGAAATGTAAGCGAGGTAAATATCTGCAGTACCCATGCCAACATGACACCGTTAAGCCCTCGCCATGATATTGCTGGAATATTGCTACATGCAGTGTAAAACCATACTCACTCACTCAAAGACTGACTGAGTGAGTGAGTGAGCGAGGTTAGTTTTACGCCGCAATCAGCAACATTCCAGCTGTATGGCGGCGGTCTGTAAATAATCGAGTCTGGACCAGACAATCCAGTGATCAACAAAGACTGACTGACTGAGTGGGTTTTTACGCCACTTTTAGCAATATTCTAAGAATATCACGGCGGGGGACACCAGAAATGGGTACACATTGTACCCATGAGGGGAATCAAACCCGGGCCTTCGGCGTGATGAGCGAACGCTTTAACCACTAGGTTACTCCACAGCCCCTCTCTCCCTCAAAGAGCAAAAAACGACTATTATACTGCGTCCTTTGATTGGTAAATCAAGTTTAATGACCCACCAATGTGACTGTCACATTAGTTAGAAAGTATTGGTTTGGTTTGTTGTTTTACACTGCACTCAGCAATATTACGGCAATATCAGGGTGGGCTGTAAATAACAGAGTCTGGACCAGACAACCCAGTGATCAACATCATGAGCATCTAGTAGTAAAGTACTTGTTCAGTACAGGGGTGAAAATAACCCATTGCCCGACGCCCGAGTCCAGTGTTTTTTTTCTGGTGGGCAAGCAAATTTGTATATCACACTGTACCGGTGTCCAGTTGACTTTCCAATATTAACTATGTTGTTTATTTTTAAATAAGAAAACGGCGGGTATAGTGGAAAACTTATCAGGGCAAGTGATTTTACATGTGCCACTGTACCGGAGAACACTAGCAATTTTAAAGTTATTTCCACCCCTGCAGTATTCCACTGAGGTAGTATATAACAAGATTAACTGAATGTGCATAGCAAAACACCATGAACTTTAAATGTGGCAACAGAATTCGGCCCAGAAATATCAACAAAATCATCTTTGAGGGTACTTGACATTTCGAGGCAACCCAAGAGTTTGAAACTGTCACAACGGTGTTTCTACATAATTATTGTGGAGGGCTGAGGCTGGCTGTTTGGTTGGTTGGTTGGTTGGTTGGCTGGTTGGTTGTTGTTTAACGCCGCACTCAGCAATATTCCAGCTATATGGCGGCGGTCTGTAAATAATTGAGCCTGAAGAAGTCAATCCAGTGATCAGCAGCATAAAATTGATCTATGCATTTGGAATATGATGACAAGTGTCAACGAAGTCAGCGAGCCTGACCACCCGATCCTGTTAGTCGCCTCTTTCGACAAGCATGCGTTGCTGAAGACCAGTTCTAACCTGAATTTTCACGGGTTACATTCTGAATGAAATGCTGAAATCCAAAGAGTTTCGGAGTTGGAGGGCTAAGGTAATGGGTACAGTTTTGAAATCAGTTTGTGCAGCAATGCAACTATAGATTAACATATTTAAATAGTCTGCACTGATCCAAATATAACACTACAAGTACAGAGTGTGTTCAGCTCTGATGGACTGTTGGTTGAGCAGGGATTTACAGGACGCGAATTCCTGCGTCCTATACGTATAAAAATTGACAGTGGATGCAACAAAATTCATTAGCGCGTCCACAGGGACTCAGAAAAAGTCCAAACACTTTTTGTAAAAATTCCAATCAAGTGACAATAAGTTATCACTGAGCTTGCTACTAGCTGGGTTTGGTATTATTTGCAATTTAATTACTGTAACAATGTGATGATCATGATACACAATACAGTAACAGTATTAATGATAATATTTAAGTGTCTGGGACCCCTATTTTGTTGTCCAGGACCCCTGAAAATTAACAGCATGAGTCCTAGGGACCCTCAAATACAGGTATCAAGGTAAATCCCTGCTTGAGAATTTGTTTTGTTTGTCTTTTGCATGTATCTTTAACACTGCATTATTTCTGCTCAATGACGGAGACCTGGAAACATTATAATCAGGCTCAGCAATCAGGTGACTGATATCATGAGCATCAACTCATGCGGTCTTGGTTTAAATGTGAGCAACCAATTCACTAAGCCCGACCATGTTGTTTCGACCAGAATGGGTTGTGGGGACTTATCACATTTGTGGATTTATGACGTACGATGAGATGTGTACCTTTTGTCCTGCAGATCTCAATTAGGTTGACGACATTCTCATTCTTCAGAAGTTGCAGGATTTTGATTTCTCGGATAGCTGTGATCGGGAACTGAAACACAGAGAAATGAGAGAGTGAGTGAGTTTAGTTTTGTGATGCTTTGAGTGAGGGAGTTAAAATTTTAAGTCACATTGGCAGTATTTCAGACATATTATGACAGTGAGTGTTGTATACTATTCACAATTTGCTAAGGATCAAATCATTGATTCAACAATGATGTTGGATGATGTGATGGATCCGAGGTTTCATCTTGTGGATCCCATACCTGCTATTGACAGGTGTTGTGTACTTGTCAATGACTCGTTCCATGATTTGCAAAATGGTTGATTGGTGCCCTGAAAACCATTTTTATGGTTACTCATGTATCAAGTGCATATGGTTAGCTTAAAGTGGCTGTTTTCCTAAAGATGTGTTACCATATCATTATTTATCCAGATTTAAATGGATACAATTTCAAATTATAAATCTACGTTTGAGTAAAGATGTGAATTTTTGTGATCCTTATCAAAGTGTGAGTAGTATTTATAAATAATAAGCTCAGGCAATATAAATATCTGTCAATGGTCTGTGATGCTTTGAACATTTCACTCATATTACAGTGTGGTAAGGTTAAGTGAGGTAAAATCTGGTTTAACGTTGCCTTAAAGACGTAGTGACAAGCATGCATGTGTTTGTCTTTGTGAACTAATTCGGATTAAAGCTAGTTTTAAAGTACAAGACGACTCAGACGCCATGCTAAAACTTATGCTAAAACTTAACAAGAAGACAAAGTCATCAAAATCCACTGCAATGGCAAAATACTCTTCATGAATATGTCTACGAGTTATGATTATGTCAAATGTTTTGGTGTGTATATAGAAAAGTGGAAGGAGAGTATTGAAAGGTTTTAAAGTTCTGCTCCATAAAGGAGCACTACCACCAGTTTCAGTCTAGTCAAACTTGTTGGCATGGAAACGCAAAAGATATTTTATTCAGAAATCCAAAACTACCAAAAGGCACCAGTTGACCACCAGATCTATCTATGTGCCAAGTTTGGTGAAGAAATAGTGAATGGTTTTAGAGTTCTGCTCCGGAAAAGAGCACTAACACCAATTTCAGTCAAAGTCAAACTTGTTGCCATGGAAACGCAAAAAATATTTCATTCAGAAATCCAAAACTACCAAAAGGCACAAGTACACCACCAGATCTATGTATGTGCCAAGTTTGGTGAAGAAACATTGAACGGTTTTAGAGTTCTGCTCCGGAAAAGAACACTACTACCAATTTCACTCAAAGTCAACTTTGTTGCCATGGAAACGCAAAAAATATCATGATCAGAAATCCAAAACTACCTAAAGGCACCAGTACACCACCAGGCCTATCTATGTGCCACGTTGGGTGAAGAAATATTGAATAGTTTTAAAGTTCTGCTCCGGAAAAGAGCACCAACTCCAATTTCAGTCAAAGTCAAACTTGTTGCCATGGAAACGCAAAAAATATGCACAGACGCACACACGGACGCACGGACAGACGGAGTGCATTTTAATAACCCCTGCAAAACGCATTGCGGGGGATAACAAAATGCATTGAGGGGGATAGCCCAATCTGTCATCTAATACCAATACCATTCAGATATTCTCTTGTCAACTCATTGTCGAATCACAGGCAATGCAACAACAAGCAGCATTGTTTAACATTTTCTGTATGACAGGGACAGGGATGAAACCACCAATCTTCTGCTCAAAGGCTAATGCTCTACCCACTAGACCACTGTTTGTTGTTTAACGCCACACTCAGCAGTATTCTAGCTATAACTAATTGAGTCTGGACCAGACAATCCAGTGATTAACACCATAAGCATCAATCTATGCAATTGAGATGCGATGACATGAGTCAACCAAGTCAGCAAGAATGACACCGTGATCCAGTTAGTCGACTCTTACAACAAGCATGGGTTGCGGAAGACCAATTATAACTCGGATCTTCACGGGTTGCATTCTGAATGAAATGCTGAAATGTCAAGAGTTTCAAATGATTATAACGCACTCCCTCTTTTTCGTTTTCCATCAGCACTTTCTTCATGGCCACAAGTCGTTTCGTCTTTTTGTCCTTGGCTTTAAAAACCTCACTGAAAAGTAAAATAAAAGTTAAACATGACTGAATAGAGTGAAGGTTAATGTATGTGGCTTTCCCATCTTTTCGAGGTACCCATTCACAGCTGGGTGGACTGTGACACATAGTCACCGTACTTCGTCCATGTTTAATGCACGTTGCTGTACCCACAGCTATGTGTTTGCACGTACTCATGTGGCCACCATCTGGTCATTTACCAACGAATTAATGGTTTCTTTAAAGTGCACAGGGTTGTGTACTGTACACTAGGGGTTGTGACAACACTGAAAGAGTCTGCACACAAAGTTGACTCCAAAGTTGACACCCGGTCACACCCGGCTTTAGTTTTGGGTTGCAGAATATGGACTTGTCCCCTGTTTAGGGTAACGGGTACGTTTCTGTCTTTTTGCTTTGTTTAGGGTACATTTCTCTATACTGAAACGCACCTGGATACACATCTGTTGTGCCTGTGTTGACACCGACCCCTTCAGCCACATTGACACATTTTCTGAGGACACTGACTGATTGTCAATAAAAAAAATTATGATGATTGTATTTTAAATTTCGTAATTACAGAGTTGAATATGTTCAAATCAAATTATTTAAATGTCCTTAAAACTTTCCAGGTAAATCACTGAATGTTCTAATTTTCTCATTATATTCGGCACCAACTTATTACCATTAATATCTAGGAATGTTGGTCTGAAATCTGATGAAGAACAATTAAAAGTGATAAAATATAAGTCTACCTTTCACCATCTGTTTAGTTTCATTCATGACATTCAGTCTAAAAAAAAGAAAGTTTATCACAGAAAAAGATATTTTACCCGAATGTACCTTGTCCAATTTTCGCAAGTTTTTCATATTTTGTTTCATCTTCGCAATAGGGGAATACTAAATCCTCGTATTTGCTCATTTGTAGCGAAGCCGTCATAAGTATTTCGTGTTTGACAGCTCACACCGGCGCTCTATGGCCATGCGCTTCCGGGTCTTACGTAGACGAAGTTTGGCTCGCTTACAACAAATTAAAATCAATAAACATGTTGCTTGAACCAGTCCTGCGAAAGGCTGAAAGTCAACACACAAAATATGCATTATATTAGTTAAAATTCATGCTACTGTTGGTCGACTAAATCGTCAGTGAGATGTTGTTTGTTATTGTCAATGTTTCTCGGCGTGAGTGGGGGTGGTGTCAAAAATACTTCAGACTAATTACACGTACATTACATTTTTTCAGAATGACAAAGAAACAAGAAAACTTTTGCGCAAGAAATAATCACAACAACAAATTATTGTGACTTTATTAAATTGGCTAAACCAAACAAACAAATTAACAATAGAGTAACAAAATTACTCTATAAAGTAACAATAGAGTCATTTTGTAAAAATGCGATTACCTCCCCTATTTACTGAATTTAATAAACACACGAAGAACCACGTGGGTACTGTTTCCCCACTGCTGAGGTTAACTGTCCAAATATTTCATACATTTCAGAGTTTGAATTAAAAAGTGCACTGAACAACTAACAATACATCCAATTTCTTTAGTTATTTACACCAAATATGATATTCTATGAACATCGTTTAAAAATATGATCAATATTTTCTGTTCAGTTTGTTCAGAAACCCATAAGTCCCACAAACTTTAAGAACATTACAAAGAGACGAAGGTGGACACCCCACCGGGCGCTTAATATTATCATTTGAAATAGTCAAACAGGCAGCACACACAAAAACACAAACTTCAGAACAGTGAGTGAAGGTGGACACCCCACCGGGCGCTTGATATTATCATTTGAAATAGTCAAGTGAGGCAGCACACACAAACACAAACAGTGAGTGAGTGAGTGAGTCAGTCAGTCAGTCAGTCAGTCAGAAAGTAAGTAAGTAAAAACGAACTTAAAGCCAAACCAAACGATCCTAGATAGGGGATCGGATCTTTAGGAAATTTGTGTGTACCGAAAGCCGTTATTGTTTAAAACACCACTATAATGTAGATGTTCACAATACAACCTATAATTATATATAGGACCTCTATTTAAATTCTAATTATCCGGCTTACATATTTGTTTCAAAACGTAGGAGATGCATGGCTAAAATAAATCTTTTTAAGTTTTAGTCTTTAAATCAAGATTTTAAGTTTTCGCCATGTCTATGGCTTTTACACCGAGGTCCATCCATTGTACAAGCATGCCCAGGTTCAAGGCATAATCGAAAACGATGCTTTTAATCAACTTTGTAGACCAACATCTAGTCTCTGAAATGAACATATTTAACAGAAAATACCGTTTTTGAAAAATAATAAGTACCAAGGGACTGAAACTGGAAATCTAGACCGGCCACATTTTCTAGACTTGCATGGGCTTTCTTGGATATATTTGTTTCAGGTTCAGTATGACATACCAAGTACTTTGGAACAGGTATATATACAGCCTAACGAAAATTACTGTCACCGAACCTGATCTTGCTTAATGTCCATTTTGACAGTAAAGTGATTAGCAAGATTCAGGAAAAGCATGATAAGCGGACCTCGCCTTTGAAATGTCTCGCTCGCATCTTAAGTACACTGTCGTCAGGCTCCCCATTGTTCCCGGTGCCCTTGGTTCGGTGCCTCCTGATTTCTTGGCGCAGATGAGGAGTGTGCCCGGCTGTCCACTGGTCCACGGTTCTTCTGACACTCTGGGAGCTACGGAAGGCTGCAGTGTTGGGAAATCTGCAGCCTGTCTCACAGTCCATGAACCAAATTATTTTCCCTAATGCCCAGCACTGCCTGTAATGCAAATGCCGCAAATGAAGCAAGTCTAGATTTCACTGGGGCTCCTTTCAAAGTTAAATGAATTATGTGTTTTTACCAACATTATCTATATTCATAGACTAAGCATTAGTATGGGGTATCTATAGATTCTCAAAAAACGTTATTGCTGGGTCCAACAAAGCAGCGCTTCCTGAGAAAAGTTACATTGGCTGCCTGGGCCACAGGTCCTCGTGTCTTTGAGGGGTGAGTGAATTAGTTATTAAGCATACAAAGTATGGTTGGGTAGCCTTGTGGTTAAGGGGTTAGTTCGGCATGCAGAAGTCCTTGGTTCGATTCACCACGCGGGTTCAGGAAGGATGGTCAATGGTAACTCCCGACGCGAGTGAGTGAATTTGGCTTTACGCCGCTTTTAGCACTATTCCAGCAATGTCAACGCGGGGGACACCAGAAATGGGCTTCACACATTGTACCCACGTGGGTTTGTGAGGCTTGAAAATTAAAATAAAGATGAGATGACCCCCACTCGAAATGCTTCACAGGGCCTAGATTTTCGAAGCTCTCTTAGCGCTAAGATAGTCGTAAGTTAATGTTAATGTATGGCACTTACGACTATCTTAGAGCTAAGAGAGCTTCGAAAATCTAGGCCCAGTACAGTAAATCATGATTTTTTGTGCTGTGAAGCATTTCGACTCGGGGGTCATCTCAGTTTCTTTCATTTTTTTTTAAATCCTCACAAAGACACGAGGGCCTGTGGCCTGGGCTGCGTGTGGAAGGGCTCCAGAGCTGATGAACCCCAAACAGACTGAGCCAGGACAACCCGTACCTTCTGTACTCGATATATTTTATCTAATTTATAAATAACGTAATCCCAAGGGTTAGGTTGTTAATTTGGTGATAAGGTCTCCTTCACAGCTTGCACAGTCACGCCCGCGTCCCAGATAGATAAGCCGACGGAACCGACCACCACGTCACAAGAATTACTTCGGCGTATTTTTTGTAAGTACATGTATATTGCGCAAAGCATTGCCATACGCGAAAATCATATATCGAAAACGATATCGAATAATAAGAATGTTTGACCATTCCATGTTTCATCGGTGGTCCTCCAAACTTCGTAATGAAGCAGGTGTGATAAGCCCAGTTAGCCAGACCCTCTTGGGTCTGATGACCTTCAAAACGTAGTTTACTCATTTGATCTCTTGTCTGTGTTAACCTGATTATGCACATCTATAAATGTAAGCTTCTTCATGACAAGGTGCTAAGGTTACAAGTTAAACGCCTTCTGGGATCCAAGATTCGTGTGAAATGGTCTGATATCGACTGTTCTGTCAGATTTGGCCAATGATCACATTAGAAAATAGGGGTGCGGAAAGTTCCAGAAACGTCACTGGAGTAATGTTTGTAGATTGCGAGTGAGTGAGTGAGCTGGTAAGTGAGTGAATAACAGGCTTTAGTGCTATTTCAGACTTATCACGTCGGGAGGGGGGTGGGGGTAGCCTAGTGGTTACAGCGTTCGCTGAAGACCCGGGTTCGATTCCCCACATGGGTACAATGTGTGAAGCCCATTTCTGGTGTCCCCCCGTCTTGATGTTGCTGGAATATTGCTATAAGCCGCGTAAAGCCAAATTCACTCACTCGCGTCGGGAGTTACCATTGACCATCCTTCCTGAACCCGTGTGGAGAATCGAACCAAGGACTTCTGCATGGCGAACTAACCCCTTAACCACAAGGCTAACCAACCATACTTTGTATGCTTAATAACTGAATGCTTGTCAGTTTATGTCGTTGTTCAACCAACTGTATTTGTAGATTAATACCAAACCCTAGATCTTACATTGGACAGGTTTGCCGATTATTGATATGATAGTTTTCGTTGCAGAGTATTTTGCAACCACAATGGCAAGATCAGGTAATCATATTTCCATTATCCGTCATGTTTTCTTCAGCAGCGAATTAACATGTTGCGGTTGTTAATCGATCTGTTACGATTGTCAGTACTATCATCAATCAATGTTGATTGTGAACAAGTAACAACAAGGGAACCAAATCAATGGGAAAGTCCGAGTTCGATCCCTGATATAATCTGGGGTGCTTTAAATCACAATACAATCCGTACCCCTCACCCATATGACTGACAATGTATAGGTCAAATATATATACTATCCAAAAATGAAACGCATAGACGTTTTGTAATTTTAAAAATAAATTGATTACCTATTGTGTTCAAACAATCGTCAAAATAACATGATTTTACACAATTGCACAAGTAGAAAATCGACTTTACCTTGAAAATGTTGCTTTTGAGATTTCTTACAAAGATTAAAAAGGCATCACCACAACGCAACAGAAGTCACCTTCCAGTTGAAATTATGCAGCAAAGAAGATGCACTGTCTGGCTATAAAAAAACAGATTAATTTCGTAAATAGGCATTCGTTTTGAAGGAGTTTCAAGGTCAAATCACTACGCCACGTCTTGACGCTGCGACACGGAACATCGTCATTGAAAGAATGCACGCTGGAGATTACCAATCTTCTGTTGCCAGGCGTCTGAATGTTAGTCTGAGCACAATATCACGGCTTGCAGCTCGTTACAACCAAACAGGCATAACAAATGGCCGTCTCCGTACAGGCAGACATCGAGTCACCACTGTAGTCTAAGATCGGTACATCCGGGTACTACATTTGCGTGATCGTACTGCCACGGGTGAGGGCACAGCAGCCAGGTGCCTGGACTACGGAGGATATCCGGTCAAACTGTAGGGTATAGGTTGAGAGAGATTCGAGTAAGAACCCGGAGATCCGACGTCGGGCCAGTTCTACGTCGTTACTATGGCGCTGAGCGTCTCCGTTATATACAATTATCCACTTGGTTGTAGAGACATTTCCTTCTTCTAAACTGATGCAAAATTGTATGTACTAAAGTCTATTTGTGGACGGGTTATACATGTTTGAAAATACAATATTTTCGCAAAAGATTTCTGGGCTATGCGTTCCTTTTTTGAATAGTATATAATCCATTTTTGTGAAAACCTGTGAAAAGTTCAATATAAGTGAAATGTAATCTATGTTTATTTGACATTATGCAACTCCAAACATATAGAGAGTCTACTCGGTTTATTATTTGCAGCTGTAGACCATTTGTTCCTTGTTAATGCAAATATAAATTGCTTGTTGATATCAAAAAGATCTTTTCTTCAGCAAATCTATATAAAAAGATGGGCTTTTTTCCAGAATTCAACTATAGCGCTCCATTTACGGTTACTGAAGAAATGAAGGAATCATTTGATGAAAAAGGCTATGTCCTTATAAGGTAGGTTGTGATTTTGAATAAAAGACAAAGGAATCCCAAGATGTAACATCTGAATAGATTGGTTGAGTGCTTCCAGGGCACATAACTCTCGCGTTTGCATACAACGAATGAGAAATTATCCCTTTGTCAGTGAACACATTTATGTGCAATTCTGAGGTGACAATAATTTTAAATGGCACCAGCATATGTTACTGAACCCATACCAGGAAAAATTAGCCATTCTTCAGTTTATGTGTGTTTGAGCAAGCGGAATGACACAGATTTCACCCTTCGAATAAAGAATCTTGCTCAAAACCAATTCAATATCAAAGAAAATCAAATGTATTACGAGTCGACATGTCAAAGATATTCTTGGTTATGGTTTTACAACTGTGCTTGTACATGATGTATGTATTTTCGTCATGGTTTACACATTTGAGCTTGTCTATTATGTTTTTCAGCTATCGTATTGAACTCCCAACTGATTTACCGCTAAAAACCCACCGAATAAACATTCCTTAATGTTATGTGTAACAAGTGTGATCATAGGCCTGTATGCTTGTACACGTTTCTGAAAATTGTAGACCTATAGAGCGAGTGAGTATGAGTTTGGTTTTACGCCGTCACTATGTTTTCTGTGACCGTTTACAAACAGTTTTTAAATCAGAATTACTTCTACAATTTTCATGTTATCATCAACTCTAAATCATTAGGTCTTTAGCATTTATTTGTGAAGATAAAAGTTACTTTTTCATATTTCAATGTATATACTTATTAGTTATTTTGCATCACTTCATTGTTTTCCTAAAATATAACTGTAAATTATATTTTGCTGAGCATCTTTTGATTTAGTTTGTAATGTACTAGTGACTAGATACCTTCTTTATGCAATGTTCTAAATTTATTTTGCAATGACAGTCACCAAGTATGATAATTCGGCAGGAAGCTTCATTGTGCATTTGCAAATGTATATAGGAAGTGTGGGGCTTGTTTTGAAGCATATTGTACGTAAATATGTTCTATGGGCCTGTGGACCTGAAACTATGACATAAAGACATTAACCTTACTGTTTTTCTTTTTAAATCTTTTTTCATTTTAGAGATCCATTTTTTAAATGAACCAAATAAATCTGGAACTTAATACTCCAGTTTTGTTTGGGGATAGATCTAACGTTATTGACACATTGATTGGAGACGAAGTGAAGTGACTCTACCAATAAGTGTTGTACCTGAGTTTGTCATCGCACACAGCTTCCAGTATTTATCATGATATCCTTTCCGGCACACGTAGGAGTGGGTTCCTCGTCACCAGTCGAGCTTGATAGGGACGAAAGCGTGCCGTCAATATTATCCGAGAACTCGGGGAAACCAGCCAGTTTATGGAACCTTCTTCACAACGCGCTGCTCACTCACAGAGGTCGGAAAGGATATTGTCCAACGAATCACAAATGGCATCTGTGGTAGCATGCAGGATACGCGAAACACTTGGGACTAATACCATGCATTTGGCCAACTAATAAAAATCGCAGTGTTAAGCGGTATCATTTCTGGTGAAATCGGCACGGAACGCGCTCAAACAAGAGGCCCTGTCCATACGATAGTTCATAAACAGTTCGTCGTCACTTGATGTCCAGTGTAATGTTCGATGAATACTTTTCTTTAAGCTGAGTTTCTCTTTAACAACATAATACGCCATTTTGTTTTAGACTTACGAGAATAAAGCTCATTTACGAGAGCAAATACTTACCGTAATTTTTCTCGTAAATTTAAGGTATCGTAAGCCTACGAGAGTTTCGTGAAACGCCCATAAAATCGTAAGATTGTGCTACGAGAAAAGTTACGAGATCTTAGGCCTACGAGAGCTTCGTGAAACGGGCCCCAGGAGAATAAGAAGAGTAACTTGCTGATGGTCCATTGCAGTCATGATATCGTTGTGAATGTACACAAGAGCTGTCTCTGTGCAGTGTTTAGATTTATATGCTGACTGATAAATTTCCAAGAGATTGTTAGCGTGAAGATGATCATGTTCCCCATAAACAATTCTTTTCCAGACACTTCGGCCCAAAAGCTCTTCGCCAAGTCTCTGGATCAAGTGTTGGTTTCTTCAGAATTGCGTCACAAGGCATGCTTTGAAGGCACTTCTGGTACTCATACCGGAGACATTCTTCAGTTTATGTGTAGCGGAATGACATTTTTTCAGATTTCACCCTTCGAATAAAGAATCTTCGGAGCTCAAAACCAATTTTCTTGCAATATCAAAGAAAATCAAATGTATTACGAGACTTCGACATGTCAAAGATATTCTTGGTTATGGTTTTACAACTGTAAGCTTGTACATTTATTTTCGTCATGGCATTTGAATATTCTGATCAGTGAGTGAGTGAGTTTGGTTTTACGCCGCTTTTAGCAATATTCCAGCAATAATATATCACGGCGGGGACACCAGAAATTAGCTTCACACATTGTACCCATGTGGGGAATCGAACCCGGGTCTTCGGCGTGACGAGCGAACGCTTTAACCATCAGGCTACCCCACCGCCCCGTAGACCTATAGAGATGCAATCTGGTCAATGATATCTGTGAACATGATTGTCACATGTAGTCCCGTCCATGACGTTAATCTTATCATCGTTACAATGTAAGCCTGCCAGAATCCGCGATGGTCAACGTTGTGGTCATGTTTTTAGACATGTAAGTATATGAGTATCCATTTTGTTTTTGATCTCAGTTTTACAGATGTAATCCTTTCCATGATGTTTTTGATCTCAGTTTTACAGATGTAATCCTTTCCATGATGTTTTTGATCTCAGTTTTACATATGTAAACCTTTCCATGATGTTTGGTCATACTTTCAAACATGTATGTCTTTGGAGCATGTTTTTACAGGGGCCTGTTGGAGAAGGACGAACTACACAAAATAAAATCAGCATTGGAAGAGAGTGAAGAAATCCAAGGAAACTCCTTTATTGTGAGTTTTTAAAGTCGTGTATTTCAGTTTTATGTCTTGAACGTGACAAATGCCATATCAATACGGTTCACACATAAAGGGAGGGGTACCATTCGGTTGTAGTATGTGTTTAATGTTCCCCAGGGAGCTGAGAATGTAACTTGATTGTAATGTAAATTGAATGCACACTGACCCATTGTCTGAAATAATGATACTGTTACGCTATGAGCAAAGCAAAGGGATACCGGAAGGATGGGCTGTAGTATGTGTTTAATGTCCCCAGGAGCTGAGAATGTAATTAATGAGATACAAGGCTTTTGAGTCCCCTTTAACCCAGCGAAACAGAACACAGACAAGTCTCTGATATTCAATAACATATTTAAAAAACAATAAACAAGGTTACAATGAATGACAGTACAGATTTCCAAAACAACACAATTGAGTCACAAATCTAAAAAATTGGGTCACAAATGTAAAATATTAACCCACCAAAGTTTTGGATATTTCCTGTAAACATATGCACTGATTGAAGGTTGTTGACAGCTGTTGAAAGCTCAGTGTAGACGAGGCCAGATGAACGGTTGGTCTTGAAAGGGTGATATTAGCAGACAGATGAGCGTAAATCCAAAGCAGTAATCCCTCATCTCAACAACCATCTTTATATACCTGTTATATAGTTCTAGCAGAAACTTAACCGTGAAGGTCCGGGTTAGAATTGATCTTCAGTATCCCATGCTTGTCGTAAGAGGCGACTAACGGGATCGGGTGGTCAGGCTCGCTGGCTTGGTTGACACATGTCATCGGTTCCCAATTGCGCAGACCGATGCTCATGCTGTTGATCACTGGATTGTCTGGTCCAGAATCGATTATTTACAGACCGCCGCCATATAGCTGGAATATTGCTGAGTGCGGCGTAAAACTAAACTCACTCGCTCATTCACTTACTCTTGTAGGTCACGGAAAGGGACGAGTAGTTGCGAATGCTCCAGACAATAGATCTGGACCTGCCTCGGGAAGACACGAGTGGTCAGGAATGATTCCGTCACAGGTTTACGAACAATTGAGGTTATCACTTCGGAATACATCTTTCGTTAATAACATGCGTTTTTACCGGAAGATTTCATGAATAATATCATTTGGAAGTGTAACGATCGATGTGTTTATCTCACAGACTGATGACAATGAAGGGAGAAAAAGCCGAGTAACAATCTGGTGTCAACCCGGAAATGACGTCACAGGAATGCTGTCTCGAAGTCAAAGAGTTGCGGGAACCTCCGCCGAAGTAAGAAACTTCGAAACAGTAAATTTATTCTAAATACTATATCGTGCGAATAATCTTTATATTTTATGAATTTATTCAATTAAAATGTCCTTTGTTTTAAAGTATATTTCATGAAAGCATGCAGAGGATTTTTACTTAGTATACAATCCCATTACGCAAACGAGGTTATACAAGCGGGATTCTTTTTTTAACGAAATATGAATTTGATAATGGCATTATGAAATATACTGCCATTGATAAATTCCTCAAGATAATAAACTCTTTCAGCTGTTTGCACAATTCGTTTTGATCGTGTACACTCAAGATCCCACGGTCGTTCCTCATCGAATCCTTGTTATTGAATGTAGACCGGAGCATCTAATGCAGTGCATAATATACGTTGTTATTAACCTACTTCGTCATGTTTGCGATGTGTTGGTGACGTCACGTTTGGTGACGACTGGGTCCAGGGTATTTATCGTAACAACCTGGGGGATATTATACACTGCACCACCGAGGATGGACCTTTGAAAATCTAATTTCTTACACAATGTGCATTTATTCTGTTCTATTTATAGAGGGAACATTTACGTCTCAGGAAACATGATACATAATTAGAGTTATGACCCTTGGTCGTGGGTTCACCTCCCCACTGTAATAATACAATGATCTGTCAGGCCGATATACTCAATTGGCATAATTTTCCTTTTGGCATGATCCACTTTTCATGGGTTGGTATAAAACTGTTCATCTGTTGTAATATGAGTTTAAGCCATGACTGACGATGTACACCGTTGGTAGTAAGTGGTTTCGTATCTCGTCTCGTCTGAGACTCAGGATTGATTCATCTGATCGGTAAAATTCGAGAAGTCAATTTCTGGTGTTCCACGATGTAATATAGTGGCATATCCATTGATGTCAAGACTTACAAAGACACTTACTGTTTAAGCCGTGTCCAACCAGTCCTTAAGTTGTGACAATACTGAGTGAGGGAACGAGTATGGTTTTACGCCGCTTGTAGCAATATTCCAGCAATATCACGGCGGAGAACACGAGAAAAGGGCTTCACACATTGTACCCATGTGGGGAATCGAACCCGGGTCTTCGGCGTGACGAGTGGGCGCTTGCACCACTAAGCTACGCCACCGCCCCGGTGACAATAATGTCACAGATGTTAAAACTCACGTCAGCCATTGTCTAAAATGTACATTGTTTACGATGAGCGTACTGAATCCACTCATACTTAGTTGTCCCACAATGCCGAGCGCCAGGCAAGGCAACAAGAACCATCTTTAAACGTTTGCTAGTAGATTGTGAGTGAGTGGGTGAGCAAGTAAGGTTTTACGCCGCTTTAGCTTTAGTGCATCAAAATCACGGCACGGGACTTCGGAAATGGTCTTAACACATTGGGGAATCGAACCAAATGGGTCGAACGTCTTCGGCGTTACGATCCAACGCTTTAAACTCTAGGCTTTAAACCCACCGTCACCACCCAATCCATTAGACCATTGTGATAGCGTCGCTTTGACTTTATCCACGTTGGGTTGTGATTTTCAGCTGCTTGGGGGAGAGGTGTATCACTACCATTCTAAACTGATGATGAAGGAGGCCCGGACTGGCGGACGATTTGTGTGGCATCAGGATTACGGGTTTGTTTGTTTGTTTGTTTACTCAGCATCAGCAACATTCAAGAACATGATCAACTGACTTGGGATGTGTTAACACGCATCCCGTAAGTCGCTTCTTCATTATGCATCAATTTGATGAAGATCAAATGTAACTCGAATCTTTACTGATGTAATTGTCAATGGCTTGCGGTTCTCAGATGCATTTGGGTTCGAACCCGAACACTTATGAAATTTATCAAAAGTTTGGACTTTAGAACATAAGGCTAGCGTGTTTAAGTGATGCCTTTGATGTTTGAGAACATTTATTAGTGGTTTGTGGTAAATTAAAACAAATGTTTTCTTTGTAAAACTTCCATCTTGAACAGCTACACGCGTGATTCCCTCCCCTTTGTTCAAGGAAAAGTCACCTGCTGGTTCTTGCAACACGTGTGTGGATGTCACCTAATAATTTTGAACGGGCAAGCTGTACGCATAAGATACTTGTACGGTACATATGTACCATGTATCACACAGAAGGATACTATTACACCAGATACTGTTACAGGTATTGGTACAAGAACGGTATCCTGTATCCTGACATGATGAGTGTGTTTGTTGCCATCGACAAGTGTGAGAAGGCTAACGGATGTCTACAGGTAAACACCAACATCATTGTCCTATCTTGTTTACGTCATCGCCAGCAATGCTGCAGTTGCGTCACAGTCGTTGCCGATAAATGATCGAGTCTGGTACCACAATGTCGGTGATGGTCAAACAAGACTCTGAGACGGATCACCAGATCCATCTTCGCCGCGTGAGCAGATGAACGGGACATATTTTCACTGGCAGACCTCTTTCAAGCATAACAAGAATCAATCAATCAATCAATCAATCAATCAATCAATCAATCAAATTTTCATTTCCGTTAATAATGCAAGTGAATGAGCATCTTCTCGAGAGTTAACTAATCGTAAAAGCTCAATTTCCACACTTACCGAACCAGCTTCGAATTTCTATTGAAGCGCCACAAGTAGCCAATACGAGTTACGTCCCTTCTACATCCTTCCAACTATCCAATCAGATTCCACCTTTCATATCCCTTCAAATATAATTGTTACGCTCAGTCAAGACGATCTGATCGACAAAAACGATTTTTAGTTATCGTACTAAAGCATGTCCTACGTCCCAAAGTGCATTAAATCAATGAAGTGATTAAAAACATTTATATATATATATAGAAAATATCTGTCGGCGCCCAGATGACGGTGTACAAGCGCTGCATACCCTGCAGTCGAAAAAGCAACGTCCAAGGCAATCGCCATTTTGTCTTTTTAACCGAATGTAAATTTCGTTGCGCGATTTTATTTGAAATATGTCACTCAATCACTATACCTAATTTCAGACTAGTAGACCGAGGGGGAAATCTCCCTTGCCTCGGGAAGATACTCTGTGATCGAATGCATTTTTTTTTATTAGATTCTGGAAGGTTCTCACAAATGCGGTCGTATTGAACACGGCAGGGTCGGAGGTCAGACAGGGGCCGACATCGACAGGGTGGAACAGCTGAAAACGAGACTGCCTCTCAAATATGTGGAGTTGAATCCAGGTAGAGCAACTTATAAAATGGTGCTCCAGGAATATTGTCATCATAATTATCTTTAGGCGCATGTAATCATCATAATGACAATGAAACATTCATGATGGCATTAGGCTATTGTAATTGCGGAATAGAAGCCAGGAATTCATTTTGGAGATAAACATACTGTGTTCGAAAATTGGACGAATGTTTGGCCGAACTGACAGTCTCAAAATTTCATTTGAAACCGAACGCGTTGCGCAGTGAAGAGGTCATAAAATCTGACGCATTTTCAATCCAATTTGATAGTGTCTAATTTTATTGATTGTCCAATCAAATACGAGTATTTCACGTAGTCATGGTAGAATGACTTTCAAATGTAACAAAAAGCTGATGCTTAGTGTTACACGCTACTGTTTTCTACGAATGTGAATCACATAGACATATTTACAGTATGTTGCTCTTATTCGTAAAATTAGTTGTTTACTGGAAGTAAAACTATTGGAACACACGGAAGTATTGTAGGAAAGTATTGTATTTTTTGTTGCTGGATTAAAGATTCTTCAATTGACTACAATAGTCTTTCGGGTGACTTCGAGAGATTTATATTAGACGCTATTTTCATTCACTGACTAAATCACACTTCTAGGTGACCCATCTACCTTTAGCAGGCTACAACGTCTTTATGAAAGACACTCCTTTCCTTTACCGACTGCAACATATTTACAGGTGACGACCACTTTTCACTGACTACAAATGCAATAATTTCACTGATATCAGCAAGGTTACAAGGCGACACCTTTCACTGACTACAAACGTATCAATTTCACTGATATCAGCAAGGTTACAAGGTGACACCTTTCACTGACAACAAACGTATTAATTTCACTGATATCAGCAAGCAACCGTGACCAACTTGTATTATTCCGGTGTCTTCTTGGAGATTACGGAAAGGGGCGAGTCTTTTCGCACTGTCTACTACATCCTTACAAGTGACGTCATCTTACTGCACTGACTACAACAACATCACAGATAACAGCATCGTCTTTCACCAACTACAAACTCTTTCACAGGTGACGGCATCTTCTTTCACTGCAACGTTCTCCACACCAGTTGCGCCAACGTGAGCGACAACAGACGCTGGGTGTTCATTGCCTGCTACAACAAAGCCAGCAATGACCCCGTTATTGAGCACCACTTCCCTCGTTATAACAAGCTGGATATCGTAAGATATAATTTCAATATAGATTACGTTTAACAGACTGTTGGCTAACTCCGCGATCTGCCATTACGTTGAATTATATAAGTAGCGTTTGTCAAACTAAGACTGTGTATCTAGTGAGGTGAGGTGAGGTGAGGTGATGAGGTGAGGTGAGGTGAGGTGAGGTGAGGTGAAATTGGGTTTAACGTCGTGCTTGAGAATATTTCGCTCATATGACGACGTGCATGCGTGTGTATGTGTATGTGCGGCTGCTTGTACTAGCCCAGACTGAAGCTGGTTTTATAGTGCTAGCCCACTGAGATACCACGCCGCAGTGAAGTATGAATACCCACTCAGACACATTATACTGACACCGAGCCGACCAGTCCTTGTTGTACCCATTAATGCCGAACGCCAGGCAGGGACCAACAAGTACCATATTTTAAAGTCTTTCGGTATGACGCGGTCGGGGATCGAACCCGCGACCTTCCGCTCTCCGGGCGGACACTCTAACCACTACACCACGGAGGCGATCGTGTATCTAAGTAATTACGGTAATCGGCAAATGTAAGAAACGCTACTAATATAATTCAACGTGATGGCAGACGTCACGTACATACTAGGACGCCACGTGTCCTCCAAAGGTGGGGGACGGTGGGGTAGCCAAGTGGTTAAAGTGTTTGCTCGTCACGCCCAAGACCCGGATCGATTCCCCAAATGGGTACAATGTGTGAAGCCCATTTCTGGTGTCCCCCGCCGTGATATTGTTGGAATATTTCTAAAGGCGGCGTAAAACTAAACTCACTCAATCACTCTGACAGGTGAACGACAACGCCATCCGTGAGTGCACCAATTTCTCCGACATGGATGGCAAAGCGTTCATGGATCCTGCCGCCAACAAGACGATCCAGGCTTCCAGAGGGTAGGGATTTCCCTGACGTTGCCTCACCGCTGATTCGTGACTGCTTCATTGCTGCTTCATGACGTGTCTGCTGCTGCGTCATTGCTGCTTCATGTGTTTAATGAATAAAGTTATTGATACATTGCAATTATCGTTGCCCCAAAGGCATGATAGTGATGAGAAATATATTGTGCGGTTTTTGAAGATTGACATTTGGGTGCCCAGAAAATCGTTCATTGCCGTCATATCCCAGATACACACATTTACTCGCGAACAACATATTTTTGTTACTTTTACATCGAATCTTCGAGCTGGATATGGCGGACGTTGTTACCTTTGGCGTCGTGACGTCGGACGTAGCAAGGAAATGTGCATTTCGTGAATGGTAATCATCAAACGCTCATTCCAAACGCTGCTTAATCCTTGCTTTTTTCTGTCCTTCGTGATATACCTGTAATGTGAAGAGAGGCACAGTAGTGACGGACTTAGGACTTCCAAGCTCGATACTAACATCAAATGTGATCAAATTCCAAAAGACCATTCAAGGACTTTTCAAGGTAAAAATCACACATTTCAAGGCAATGATCGCAATCCATAAAGCGAGATACAAACGTCATCAAACAGAATAATTGAAGGCGTTTTCGAATTTTAAGAACCTTAATGTGGATTCATTATAAGGCATTTTTTACTACATGTACAAAACAAAAATATTCACAAGGTCGTATTTTGCACTTGGATTTATAAGTAAATGTCAGCGTTTAAATACAAATGAACATTTATAGTATTTACCTGGAACATATCGTGTCAGACATTGCTAAATACCACACGAAGGTGTTCTAGATGAGGATTTTGGTCATCTACACACAAAGAGCGTAGTTAAGCACCCCCTGATATATCTCACGATTGAATGAGCCCCGATCTTAATCCATTGGAGCATATCTGGTACATGGTTGGTCGTCGTGTGCAACAAAGGAACCTCCTGTACAGAACCTGGCCCAATTGGAAGCTGCCATAAACGAAGAATGACGTATACTGCCCCTTCAGAGGATCCGGAGGCTGACAGGGAGAGTGCTGGCTGTCATACAATCACATGGAGGTTACACTCAGTATTGACCTGTAACCGTGTAAGGCACACAAATGACATTTTTAATGTTCACATTCACAAAAAATCAACATTAAACATTCCAAGGCCATACTCGTACAGACGTGGTTTTGTATGAAAATCAGTGTTTTTGTAAATGAGCAATTATCATCATTAAATCAAAAGGGATTCCAATCATTTTGTTGATTTTTATGAGTCAAGGGAGCATACGGGTAAGAAAGAAAATCGTGGTCACCACGAGAGGTTTTATGTATGTGTTGAAAATCATTGCAAAAATACAGGGCTTGCTTAATTAAGTTCTTTGTGTATAGTTGGTCATCAGTCATCCTACTTGCGTGACGCCCACGTCAGTAAGTGACAGGTCCTGCAATAACATGTCCATGTCAATATTTACATACGTATAAAGGCGACAAATTCATTCTACTATTATTACGGTTAAATACTTGCCGTGACAAAAGGTTTAAGAGTCCCCTTGTGTGTCAACACAACAACCAGCCTTTATATATGTTACAGGCAATATGTGTAATCAGTCATTTCGTGTAATGACTAAATGAATCAGTCATTTCGTGAAGTGCCTGTGAGCACTAGGCAATACGTGTAATGACTGAAAATTCCAGTCATTACACGAAATGACTAAAATTTATAGCTTTTTTTACACATAATGCCTGACTGAAGATTTTGTAAATCAGGCAATATGTGTAAAACACAAAATGACAATTTTTTCATTGTGTGATGGACATACCTGTTCATTTCAAAGGTTTTTTCTTACTGTAATTAAATGCAGTCTATAATCACTGTTGTGTTTTTTCTTGTTTTTGTTTTGGTTTGGTTATGTTTTTTTTCCTTTTGTGTGTGTGTGTGTGTTGGGGTGTTGTTTTAATAGCATTGTTTCTGGGAATTTTTTATAGCATTGTTTCTGACTTTTGTCACAAATCTTTGCTTGTGGTTGTCAAAACATTACTACAAGTACAACTACAACATGGCTTCCCCCAAGTGGCTTCCTCCGAATGACATCCCCAAAGTGACTTCACTAAAGTGACTTCACTCAATTTCGATAAAACCAGCATTGTTTCTTGCTTTTGTCACAAATCATTTTGTATCATCATGGCAGAATCAGTTTAAAGCAGAGCTTTACAAGAAATGTGAAGTTTGCAAGAGAGTTTTAATTCCAAAGGAGGCGTATTTCACAATGATAGAGGATCTTAGAGCAGCAGCAGAAACTGGTGGAACAAAGGACAGACATGGATACTACCTCCTGTAAAAGTAAGTACCAAGTTTAGGCTAATTACGCTCACTTTGTATTGTTCATGACATGCAATTACTTCTTGATTTTGTCATATTATAAGTTTTTAAAATATTTCTCATATTATTTTTCAGGTTTGAGACCTTTTGAGAAACAAAAGTTGGCTTAACATCATCATCTTTGCCGACCGAGGTTGTTGAACAGATGCAAACTGACCTTGTTTTCGCATTATCATGTCAGCAAGACTCAACAAGCACCAATCTTGACCCGACACCAACCACCAGCCAGGATCCGATACCAACCACCAGCCAGGATCCGACACCAACCACCAGCCAGGATCCGATACCAACCACCAGCCAGGATCCGACACCAACCACCAGCCAGGATCCGACACCAACCACCAGCCAGGATCCGACGGCAACCACCAGCCAGGATCCAACACCAACCACCAGCCAGGATCCAACACCAACCACCAGCCAGGATCCGACACCAACCACCAGCCAGGATCCGACACCAACCACCAGCCAGGATCCAACGGCAACCACCAGCCAGGATCCGATACCAACCACCAGCCAAGAACTGACACCAACTCTCAGTCTGAATTTTGACTCTGCACCCCCAGCTAGCCCAGTTGATCAGGGGAACAGTGACAGTGACATGCCAGAGCTCACAGTGATTTCCACAGTTTCACAGTCCGCACCAGAGTACAGAGATCCATCACCAATGAGTCCTGCTCCAGTTGCTGTCACCTCGGATATACTCAATGCCCGTTTACAAAACATCATATGGCACAAGCTCAGCGTATGGTCAAGAGGAGTCTAGTTGAACTAGCCAGTGGCCAGGTGGGAGACAACGTAGCTGGACCTATCCCTCTGGTGGATAGGGGACGTGGTAATCCACGCAATATTCTGGGAATAATCATGGACCGTGATGAGAATGACATGTACACTATTATATGGTCTCTGGTGTAATGAATGAAAATTCCAGTCATTACACGAAATGACTAAAAATCATGGTCATGCATTCCGTGAAATGACTGAAATGCTGTCAAGACCACAAAAGTTCAGTGTAAAGCATTTATTGACGCTATAATAAAAATGTTTTACAAGTCGCACATCAAGATAAAGTAGAGTTTTTATTTAACTATTAAAGGACACTGAGAATACTGTGCCAACTCAATCACAACAAAGTCCTATATTCAAATCAAAAGCTAAATCATGCATCAAAAGCGTAATAAAGTTGAGTCTTTCATCACAAAATTTAAATCATATATCACAGAAGTCATTCAGTTGAACTCTCAAATCACTTGTCACAATCTGACTACTTCATTTCACAAGTCACTTGTTTTTGCACAACTGGCTGCTGTGACCACGGCTGGAGCATTTCATTTTGTTTTTGAAACACTTGCATCTATCCGTCCCACATCTCTTGGAACCTGCACAGTTGCACCGGACATATCCCTGTCCACCTCAGTTGGATTGTATGTGTACAGCCTGACGTAGTGTTACTCTCTTTGTAGGGTCAGTAAGTAAACGATGGGGACACAAATCGAACTGATTGCGTGAAAACTTCCCTTTCAGAATCCCCGCTTTAACACAAATTACAAAAAACACACTCTTTTAACACTATTTACGCGAAATCCCCGCTGAAGGCAAAAAGGATTGTACAATTCTGTGTCTATCGAGAGCAAACGTTTATGAATCACAGTCGAACAGTGATGACACCAGGTGTTCGCTGGGAAGTGAGCCTTTCCTAACTAACAAACAGATGCAAAGGCAACCAGTTGTTCACCCGAAACAAACACACGGGTATATGGTACAAGCCAAAATAGGTGAATACAATGAGCATCAGTTTTGTCGCTAATGCGTCAAACTTGGAAACGTCCTTCACGTGTCAAAATGTTTCTGACCACTGTGTGATTACCTCCCCTATTTGAATTTGATAAACACACGAAGAACAACGTGGGTACTGTTCCCCCACTGTTGAGGTTAACTGTCCAACATATACTACTTAAAAAAATAAACGCATAGCTGAAAATGGTCATATATTTATGCATATAAGTTTGAGTGATACAGGAGAGTGATAAAGAAAACACTCTTGAACATGTATTGTCCAAGAGGTGGGATGTAACAAATGACACGTGCAGAAAGGTCAAGGTCACAGAGCAGTAATATTATGTGTGACCATCAGTAACATTCATGGTTGCCTGGCATCGGCGTACTATAGATTGGATCAGATTCTGGATGAACTGTCTAGGAATGTTCTGATATTCTTCCCTCAAAGCCAGAAACGAAAACGCAGCTGAGGTCTGCAGCTGAGGCTCACGCTGTCTCACACGTCGATCATTTCGTACCGCAGATGTTCAGTTGGGTTCAGGTCTGGTGATCGATACGACCATTCAAGAACCCGAACGTTGTGCTGAGCACAAAAATCTCTGGTTAATCTTGATGTGTACGGTCGAACATTATCATACTGGAAAATGACGTTCTGACGGTTCATGAATGGAATGACATGAGACCTGGTGATTTCATCACAGTAACGTCAAGCTATAAGATTGCCTTTGATGTGAATAAGATCGGTTCTTCCACTGTATGAGATGTTTGCCCAAACCATAACACTTCTCCACCAAATCTGTCCACTTCCTGTACGCAACTGGGAGCATACCGTTCGTGACACTTTCCGTCAAGAAGCCTGAGCATATACCGCGACTCATCACTGATCACGACAGTTCTCCATCTTTGTAATGGCCACTGGAGATGGTTTCGACACCACTGTTTACCTTGTTGCTGATGATGTCGTGTAGATATGGGTCCCCGCAATGGTCTCCTAGGACGAATACCAGCCTCACGAAGTTTGGTCCGAGATTGTTTGGAATCCTGGCACTATAGATGATGTAGAGGATGCGGTAGTGAACCTGTTCCGTAAGTGTTGAAGACGGAAAAACCTGCCTTGGGCGGGTGTGGTCACCCGGGGTCTTCCTGACCGAGGACGATCACGTTTCGTTCCACGATGCTGGTGCCGATGCCAAAGCCTTCGTACGGTACTCTGGGACACATAAAATTGCTTTGAGAACGCTGACTGCCACTCACCAGCTTCCAAATGTTGCGCTGAGCCGCGGTAAGTCTAGGCACTTCACTTCAAGATTTACGTTTGTCAATTGCCGCTAAAACAATCAGACCCCTTGGTTTTTATTGCAAATGTTGCACGGATTGTACATGCAAAAGAAAGCGCATGAATCGAATCACATTCATGCTTTATTACCTTTCTTGAGAAAAAAACAGATTTGGTTGCGTTTGGGCGACAGGTTTTCAATGGTAATGGGTTCAAACTCATAAATGGTTGAAGGGAACGTCCACCATAGACATACTGTATAGACACACACTTATGATTCATTTTTGAAACATTACATGGAAAAATACTGTCTATGCGTTTCTTTTTTGGAGTAGTATATGTCATGCATTTTGGAGTTTGAAGTATATTAAACATCTAACAATCTATCCGAAAATTTAAGATATTTACACCAAATATGACATTTTATGAACAATTAATCAGTGTTTAATAATATGATAAATATTTTCAGTTCAGTGTGTTCAATAACCCATAAGTCCCACAGAGCTTTCAGAAAAGTATTACAAACACGTGATATTTTCTTAGTGGATCATAACAGATGGACGAAATCAACAACACAGAAAAGACGCTCATTCAATTAATTGTTCCACAGGCAGAAAGGATTAAACACGTGGGGTCAAATCGAAAAGTCCATATCGCGTGTGACTGCCATTTGCATTGACACATGCAGTGCAACGTCTCCTCATTGAGTCAATAAGCGTCCGAATAGAGTTCTGGCAGATGGCATTCCACTCCTGCAGTAGTGCAGCCTGACGTTCCCGGGTGTTTCGCATCTGTTGTCGCCGCGAAAGACCTTGACCAATTTCGTCCCACAAGTGCTCAATGGGGGATACATCTGGCGACTGTACTGGCCAATGAATTACCTGGATGTGTTGCTGGGTCAGATACTGCATGGAATGTCTAGCTGTGTGTGCCCGTGCGTTGTCCTGTTGAAAAGTATGGGCATCTTGACCAGTTTGAAGAATGGTACGACGTGATTCTAAAGAATTTGGTCACGGTAGAAAAGGTCATCATCTCTCCCTTGACACGCATGAAGGGCAGTCGTGTGATTGTAACTTATTTCACCCCAGACCATGACTCTCCCACCACCCTACAGGTCTGTCTGAACCACACACTCACCAGCATAACTTTCACCACATCTACACCAAACACATCTTCGGCCATCAATATTACATAGTTGTAAACAAAACTCCTCAGTGAATACCACACCATGTCATTGTTGTAACCTCGATTAAACATGCCTGTTAGCCCATTGTATACGCTTATTACGGTGTCTGTAAGTCAGAATTGGTCCAATGTAAGGACGTCGAGCATAGAGCCCTGCAGTGTGTAGACGGCGTCGCACGGTGTCGGCGCTGATGGCCCCACGTCGACCTTGAACTAGTGCAGCAGTCCTGGCAGCCGGCAGCGATCGATCACGGATATGGTCACGGACATTATGGCGATCCTGTTGGGGCGTCGTGACACGTTGTGGCCTAAGTCGTGGAAGGTCACAGGTGTTGCCTGTCTGCTGATGTAGTATATGAAGCCTAACGAATGTTGAGTGGCTACATTCAAGTCGTCGAGCAATATCCCTGCTGTTGGTGCCAACCTGAATCATGCCTAGTGCACGTTCGCTTTCCTGTTCTCATTTCACAATCGTTAGTGAAGCAATGAGAATCGTTTCTGATACACCTGCTTTTAAAGTCACAGTAAGCATGATTTCAGAACCAAATTCGTTTTCTTCATGGCATGGATTCATGTTGTTGCGTTTTGGAGTTAAGATTCATACCGTGAACAGGAACCCGTTTCTGAAACATTTTTGCAACAAGACATGCCCTGCGACTTCCTGTTAGTCATATTCATTGATAACTGTCATGCTGAAGTCCATCTTGATGTGACTATGGACAATTTTAGACTGGTGCGTTTTCAATGCTGGTGAGTATATATATTCGGATTACATGTCCATAGCGTCATGGAAAATGATGCCTTTAAACTACTTTGGAATAGGTCTAAGGAAGATTACCAAACCTGAACTCAGCATTGGAATTAGCAAGTTTCGGGGAGCAGATCTCGCTTTTGAAATGTCTCGCTTGCATGCCACATACACATGTATATATCGTCAGGCTCCGCAATGCTTTCGGTTACCTTGAACCAAATTATTATCCCTACTGCGCAGCACTGCCTGTAATGCAAACGCCCCAAATGAAACAAGTCCTGGGATAGGTTGTTAATTTGGTGATAAGATATCCTTGACAGTTTGCACAGTCACGCCCGCGTCCCAGATAGAAAAGGCGACGGAACCGACCACCGCGTCACAAGAATTACTCTATCGTAATTTCTGTAAGTATTGCCATACGCGAATATCATATATCGAAATCGATATCGAATCGTACGAATGTTTGACCATTCCATGTTTCATGGGTGGTCCTCCAAACGTCGTAGTGCCGCAGGTGTGATTTGCCTAGTGAAGTTGACGGTCTTGGGTCTGATGACTTTCAAAACGTAGTTTTCTCATTTGATTTCTTGTCTGTGTCAACATGATTATGCTATTAACAGAGATGAAAGACACCAGGCCTATCATCACTTGCTATGTAATTTCATGTAACCCACTCAACCACTGTACATTATCCCTTGTGTAGCATCACTTCACTATTGGCTTCCTAACAGTGTCTTTATTACGTATGTAATCAACCTATGTACATCATTCCCTACCGGCTGCCCATCAACATCCTTAATCTTTTATGTATACAGCCAAGTACTTCCTCTCTACTGGCTTCCGATCACCTACTTAATCCTGTATAGCTTCTGTGTTATCAACCTCTTCTATTTCTTCCTTAAGTGGCATTTAGAAGCTGGTATGATGAAGTGGAACACTTTTTATGGATAGACAACGTCTTTGTTGCAGTAGTAGTTGCGACGTTTCGGTGTAGATCCTGACACCGTTATCAAGTAACTGATACACAACATTTGCACAAGGAGAAATATATACATGGCGGGTATTGGGTTTATACAGTAGAAGAGGTTGATGTACGGTGTGTTGACATGAGACTTGTTGAGATAGGAATGATTGAAGCCAGTAGACAAAGGGGTGGGTTATTCTTGATTAGGCTTGATTAGTTGATCGTAAGCCGTGGGGATGTAATAACCTTGATTTCTGTTGATTGCTGGGTTGAGTCGTTTGATGTTGATAGCCTGTAAGAGTTTTCTTATCTTGTAATCTGACCGGTTGGCTTCTAGGATGCTGATATTGTTCCAAAGTATGGTATGGTTCGGGTGGGCTTGGGTGTGGTCGGAAATGGCTGATTTGGAATCTTTTTTTGTTTACAGATGTCTGATGTTCCTTGATTCGTAGGTTTAGGGGGTGGCACGTTTCTCCTATGTATTAGTCACCACAGTCGCATTGAATGTGGTAGACAACGCCTGAAGGGTCTTCTTTGTTGCTTGTAGGTGGTTTACCGTTGGCTTGTAGGATATGCTGAATTGATGTGCCTCTCTGGAACACAACATCTATGTTGGCTTGCTTCTTAAGTAATCTCCGGATATGGTTGATATATCAATTACATAACGTTTCATTTAACGGAGTGTACATTAATCGGTGACCCGTGAAGATCGGGATAGAATTGATCTTCAGTAACCCATGCTTGTTGTAAGAAGCGACTACTGGGGTCGGGTGGTCAGGTTCGCTGATGTGGTTGACACATGTCATCGTATGCCAATTGCGTAGATCGATGCTCATGGTTTCGATCAATGGATTGTCTGGTCCAGACTCGATTATTTACAGACCGCCGCCGTATTGCTGGAGTATTGCTGAGTGCGGCGTTAAATAACAAACAGACCAATTGCAACCGTGATGCGTCCCTGGCTTTGGTACCTGAGTATTGTTTGGTGACGTCAATCAGGCTTTGTACCTCGTGTTTGGCCTGGATCTGGTCGGGATTGTGTGGGGCGGGGTCAGGAACGTCTCCAAACCCGTCCTTGCCGTGGTACTTGTAGTCGTCAGGTTTTTGCCAGCCAAGCAGCATGTCCTCACCTCTGCACATAGTGATCTGCTGACAGATAACAAATCACATTATTAATATTAGAATATTGTTGAGTGTGACGTAAAAATATACTCACTCACTCACATTAATCGGTGTCACACGCTGCACAGTGTCATCGTTCACAAAATTTCAAACTGCCGGGCTAAAGACGGCATATAATATGAATATTTGATGGTGGCAGAAAAAGAAAATAAAGGTACCATAGTTTCGTTTTGGACTTCAAGTTTGCAGTGTATCAGCGCCGGCTTTCCGTCGAGTTACGTTTTTCACTTTTCAGTTTATGTCGTTGTTCAACCAACTGTATTAGTAGATAAATACCAAACCTTAGATCTTACATTGGACAGGTTTAATTGCCGATCATTAAGATGATAGTTTTCGTTGCAGAGTATTTCGCAACCACAATGGAAAGATCAGGTAATCATACTTTCATTATCTGTCATATCTTCTTCAGCATGTTGCGGTTGTTACTCGATCTGTTACGAGTGTCAGTAATATCATCAATCAATGTTGATTGTGAACAAGTAATAACCAGGGAACCAAATCAATGGGAAACTAGAGTTCGATCCCTGATATAATTTGCGGTGCCTTAAATCACTATGCAATCCTTACCCTTCACTCATATGACTGACAATGTATATGTCAAATATAAATTCATTTTTGTGATAACCTGTAAAAAAAGATGAATAACAGTGAAATGTAACATTTATGTTCCGACAGATTGTTTGACATTATGTACAAAGAGAATGAAATTTGTCTTTGAAAACGATAGACATTTTTTGCAGATGTAACCAGCAAATTTATACACCAAAACACTCTGTATAAATGAGTTTTATGAATATATCAGAGAGTCTATTTCATTTAGTATTTGCAGCTGTGGAACATTTTTTCCCTGTTAAAATAAAAAAAATCTTTTCTTAAGCCAATCTGTTGTAAATGTTTGTTTTTTCCCAGAGTTCAACTATAGCGCCCCATTTACGGTTACTAATGAAATGAAGGAATCGTTTGGGGAAAAGGGCTATGTCCTTATAAGGTAGGTTGTAAATTTGAATAAAAGACAAAGGCATCCCTAGTTGTAACGCGTGAAAAGATTGCTTGAGTGTTTCCAAGGGGACATAACTCCCACCGTTGTTTGCTTATAAGGAATGAACGAATGAGAAATTATCATTTTGTCGTTTAAGCCCGTTTATGTGCAATTCTGAGGTGGCACCAGCATATGTTACTGAACCTATACCAGGACAATCAGCCATTGTTCAGTTTGTGTGCAGCGGATTGCCAAATTTTTCAGATTTCACCCAGCTTTTAAAGAATCTTCGGAGCTCATATGCCATGTTCATTGCAATATCTTAAAAAATCAAATGATTTACTGTTATACTAGAATTCGCTACGGCAAGGATTTTCCTGGTTATGGTTTTACAAATGTAAATGTGATAGGTTTGATTGGCAATTTTTGAAGTTGTTGAATAATAAGAAAGGTATTTCGTATATTAGTCCAGGAGGAGAATCTCAAAAGGGGCCTAGAAATAGGATTTCGTAGACTCCCCAGTACTGATTTTGTTTGACACTATTTTCAGTTAGTATGATGTCTTGGGCTCATGAAAAGGCCTGTAATACTCTCAGATTGTGGTATCAGTTTTTTTTTACAGGCCATTATATGTGGTGGGGGTCTGGGGGCATTTTCGTCACATTTGGTTTGCTGCCCGACAACACCTCAAAGTTAATCATTAATAGTTTTACTACTATAAATCTGATCACTTTCATTTTGACTTCTGTGTACTGCTAAAGGATGTAGAAATTATTTGACATAATTTTGTTTTGAAAAAAAAAAAAAATGGCCGCCATTATGGCCGCCATTTTGTTTTGTCGTGTTTTGCCTTCTCAGCACTTAAATCTACATAAAAATGAACACCGAATGTTTCCATTTGCACCCAAAGTTGATACTTTTGATGTGTTTTGACACTTGTTTCTCCTAGAATGATGGCTTGGGCACAAAACAAGTTATTTTGTATGGTCATAGCATGGTAATTTAATGTTTTACAGCTTCTTCTTTGAGACAGGGGTATTTTGGCATTTCTCAGACTTTTCATGGAAATGTGTCAGAGTGATTTATTTAATGGCAGTTAACATTATTTTTGTTACTAAAACAAGTTGTTTTTGTTTTCTCTTTACTTCTAGAGTGACGGCATGTTATTAGGAATGTTTACATATTACCCAGAATTCAAAATGGCCGCCAAAATGGCCGCCATTGTAGTTTAACTACATATACTTAGTGGAGGACTAAATTTGTACTGATATGAAATCCAAACAAATCATTTGGTGTCTGATGTTGAATACAGTATAGGAATAGAGCTAAATTTCAATGATAAGGTCAATCAAAGCTTCACACTCCTAAAATATTTGATGAAATAACATTATCCAAAAGTGTTTGAAAACTATGCTTCATGGCCAATAACTACGTCTAAGTTTTGGTTGTAGGTATTCAAATTGTTCTATCAGATAACTCTTAATCACTTTTGATACATCCATAAGCTTGCAATTAACCCTCCTTTTCACTTTCTTTCATTTCATATGTTACTTCATGTCACAATCGGATCCGGGTTAGAATGGACCTTCAATAACCCATGCTTGTCGTAAGAGGCAACTAACGGGATCGGGTTGTCAGGCTCGCTGACTGGGTGAACACATGTCATCGTATCTCAATTGCACAGATTGATGTTCATGCTGTTGATCCCTTGATTGTCTGGTCCAGACACGATTATTTACAGACTGTCGCCATATAGATGGAATATTGCTGAATGCAGTGTAAAACTAAACTCACTCACTCACTCATGTCAGAATCGGAGTCATCTACTGGCAACAAGTCAAATGTGTTCGGGCAACAATCATCTGCCATACAAAAAGACATGCCTATGTGCACACTATATCATTCTTTCTGCTGGCATGCTGACTTTTTGCATTTACACGATGTCAGTTCAACCAATCCACGGGGAGCAGGATCTCTCGACATCAGAATAGGATAAGCTGACCATCACAAATGCTCCAACAATGGTCAACTGGTGAAGGGATGTTCATGATTGGTTGCAGAGACTGTTTCCAAACATGGACTTGGTAGTTTACTCTTTCAATGTGATGTTTTAGACTGTTGGATGTTGGTGGGAGGTTTTCATTCAATATCTTGTGTCATCTACAGACATCACTGGATTATTTGGTACATGAATAGAACTCACAAACTGGCCACAAGATATAATGAGTGTTTCTTGAACATCCAAATTGTCATCCATTTGTTGTGTGAAGCTTCTCATCCCTGGGCTTTACATCCTTTCTTGGAATCAATGTAGAAAAGGTTTTCAGGTTCAGTCGATGTAAAGGTGACCACAAGTTTGTCCTGGAAGAGTTCAATCGACTACTTATGATGTTATCCCTTTGCTCTGCCCCAATCTGTTTAACATGCAAGAGGCTGTGAATCATATCCTTTGGGACAACAACTCCACTTCCAATGTTCACAAGATGCAGACATCATTCATTTGGAAGATTGAGTGGATTTGTCATCAACCCTGATGTGAACATGGACATTTCTAGTGTTCATTTTACAATGGCCCATTCAGATGGAACATTAAGAAAGAACATCAAAAGCGGTTTGTTAAATGAACTTTAAAAGCTTTTGGTCCTTCGCTGCTTATACTAGCAGAAGAGAGAATGTTGCCAGTTCATATAGTTGATGGAATGGCAAAATTGCAAATGTTCAGAAAGGGAGCTGCTTCCACATTTGGACACTTGGCTGATATGCATTGAGACAACTTCACTTCAATTCTGAATCGAACAGACTGTATTAGAGTTGATGTTGTTTGGGACAGGTATGCCAGACAAGAGTAAATCAAAGCAGGGGAGCAAATCAAAAGAGGATCGCCAACGGGGCTAGAAGTCAAGATTGTTGGCAAAAACAAACCACTGCCAAGACAATGGGGAAAAAAACATCAGCAGTCCTGTCAACAAGTCTTGTAGCATGTATGAACGAACGATGGTGTTCTGTTTGTCCAGCCATGCTACCTGTTGGTAAGGCCTGAGTCACACCAATGTAGTTCTTAGGACGTCCTGCCCTGTCCAAACAATAACTGTTAAGTGACCGCGAACGGGATAGAACGTGTAACTTTTGTATAAATTACAATGCTAGTTTGATCATAAACAGTTCTCAGTACGTCTGTCTCGTCTTTACCCTGTCCTCAGACAGAAAAATTGCCCGTTCACCCCGTGTGGACAACGTTTTCAAGCAGTCCAATCCTGTCCATAGTCACTTTATATCCCTTCTGAACTAAACCTATCTCGTTCTTAATGCGCACAACCCCGTTCTAACTCATTCTTCTAAACCAACTCATTTTCAGGCACTTCTTCCCATTCTCACTACTTTCTCACTCCGTTTCTAGTGTGTGCAATCGTAATAGCAATCACTTCCTGGTTCGATTTATATAAATACCCTGCCCATTCTTATTCCGTTCTCAGTTTCAAGGTGGAAACATTGACATCACCATGCCTCCAAGGAAGAAGAAGGGTGAACATCTAATTTATAAAGGGGTCAATGCGTTCAAGAAGTTCATCAAACATGGGTAGGGTGATTCTCAAGAAGTTGTAGAAGGGCTCATGATCATCAAGGCGGAGCTCCTCCATCAGTTGATGATAATGTCCAACAGCTATTCACCTCTCAGGTTTAAGCCAGTTCCTCACCCAACAAGTTCTTGTGTTTCCCTTCTTTATTGCTCTACCAACTCATTGTACTCTTGCTCTGCTTCCGATAAAAATTACAGGAAACCAGCATTCAATATTCTGACAGCTGCAAACTTGTTCATAGAAACTCTATCCCAAATGACGACCATGTTAAAAACGCATGTATATATACCCTACCTTGTCATATCGTAATGCACACAGAGTTGACATAGTAAGAACTGCATGAGAACTACATAAACATACTAACAGCGAGTAGAATGTGATGAGAACCAATTGCAAACTGTTAGAACCGTGTACTACAAGTTTCTTCAGAACGATTCATTTTGTTTTGAACATATTTGCTTGGAATAGCGACTAACTAGAGTTCAGTAGAGTTCTGCAAACGGGATGGACCAGGTGGAAACTGTGTACAAACGTATTGCAATTGATGCCAGACTGCACTACGTCCTCACACATACCAAGTAAAATTGAAGCGCCGCGATTGCGTTCGTAGTATGGCAATTCCGTTCTTAGTATGGCAATCTCATTTTACGTACGTTATTACTCCGTCCCATTTTAGAACGTGTAGAACGTTCGACATGGGGAATTGACTTACATAAGTCCTCTGAAAATCACCAACAAACATTGACACAATTGACATTGACATCCAAAAAAGGATGTAAAGCCCAGGGATGAGAAGCTTCACACAACAAATGGATGACAATTTGGATGTTCAAGAAACACTCATTATATCTTGTGGCCAGTTTGTGAGTTCTATGCATGTACCAAATAATCCAGTGATGTCTGTAGATGACACAAGATATTGAATGAAAACCTCCCACCAACATCCAACAGTCTAAAACATCACATTGAAAGAGTAAACTACCAAGTCCATGTTTGGAAACAGTCTCTGCAACCAATCATGAACATCCCTTCACCAGTTGACCATTGTTGGAGCATTTGTGATGGTCAGCTATTCTGATGTCGAGAGATCCTGCTCCCCGTGGATTGGTTGAACTGACATCGTGTAAATGCAAAAAGTCAGCATGCCAGCAGAAAGAATGATATAGTGTGCACAGAGACATGTCTATTTGTATGGCAGATGATTGTTGCCCGAACATATTTGACTTGTTGCCAGTAGATGACTCCGATTCTGACATGAGTGAGTGAGTGAGTTTAATTTTACGCACTCTGTTATATTCCATCTATATGGCGACAGTCTGTAAATAATCGTGTCTGGACCAGACAATCAAGGGATCAACAGCATGAACATCAATCTGTGCAATTGAGATACGATGACATGTGTTCACCCAGTCAGCGAGCCTGACAACCCGATCCCGTTAGTTGCCTCTTACGACAAGCATGGGTTATTGAAGGTCCATTCTAACCCGGATCCGATTGTGACATGAAGTAACATATGAAATGAAAGAAAGTGAAAAGGAGGGTTAATTGCAAGCTTATGGATGTATCAAAAGTGATTAAGAGTTATCTGATAGAACAATTTGAATACCTACAACCAAAACTTAGACGTAGTTATTGGCCATGAAGCATAGTTTTCAAACACTTTTGGATAATGTTATTTCATCAAATATTTTAGGAGTGTGAAGCTTTGATTGACCTTATCATTGAAATTTAGCTCTATTCCTATACTGTATTCAACATCAGACACCAAATGATTTGTTTGGATTTCATATCAGTACAAATTTAGTCCTCCACTAAGTATATGTAGTTAAACTACAATGGCGGCCATTTTGGCGGCCATTTTGAATTCTGGGTAATATGTAAACATTCCTAATAACATGCCGTCACTCTAGAAGTAAAGAGAAAACAAAAACAACTTGTTTTAGTAACAAAAATAATGTTAACTGCCATTAAATAAATCACTCTGACACATTTCCATGAAAAGTCTGAGAAATGCCAAAATACCCCTGTCTCAAAGAAGAAGCTGTAAAACATTAAATTACCATGCTATGACCATACAAAATAACTTGTTTTGTGCCCAAGCCATCATTCTAGGAGAAACAAGTGTCAAAACACATCAAAAAGATTAAACTTTGGGTGCAAATGGAAACATTCGGTGTTCATTTTTATGTAGATTTAAGTGCTGAGAAGGCAAAACACGACAAAACAAAATGGCGGCCATAATGGCGGCCATTTTGATTTTTTTTTCAAACAAAATTATGTCAAATAATTTCTACATCCTTTAGCAGTACACAGAAGTCAAAATGAAAGTGATCAGATTTATAGTAGTAAAACTATTAATGATTAACTTTGAGGTGTTGTCGGGCAGCAAACCAAATGTGACGAAAATGCCCCCAGACCCCCACCACATATAATGGCCTGTAAAAAAACACTGATACCACAATCTGAGAGTATTACAGGCCTTTTCATGAGCCCAAGACATCATACTAACTGAAAATAGTGTCAAACAAAATCAGTACTGGGGAGGCTACGATTTGAAATGTTTCAGCTGCCTCCTCCTGGACTATATGACAACTTCATGATTATATTATGATGCGACATTTCGGTATAGATTCTTATAACGTTGTCAAGCAAGAGTAAGTACAACAGCACATAACAGACTTACATACAACAGGGATTAAGTAAAACAACATGTGGTTGCATGCAATCCCTGTTGGTGTACATGAATCTGTCTTGTGCTGTAGTATACCGAAACGTTGCATCATAACATAAGAAAAAAGTTGTGATCGATAAAGTACTTTATCTTTCTTAAATGTCAGCATTTGCATGATGTATATATTTTCGTCATGGTTTTACACATGTGAGCTTATCTGTGATGTTTTCATCCATGATTTACGTATGTAATACATGCTCGTCCACGATGTTTCTGATCAAGGTTGTAGACCCGTATGCTTGTCCACGATGTTTCTGACCAACTTTGTAGATCTGTATGCTTGTACACGATGTTTCTGACAAACTTTGTAGATCTGTATGCTTGTACACGATGTTTCTGACCAACTTTGTAGATCTGTATGCTCGTCCACGATGTTTCTGACCAACTATGTAGATATGTATGCTCGTCCACGATGTTTCTGACCAACTTTGTAGATCTGTATGCTCGTCCACGATGTTTCTGATCAAGGTTGTAGATCTGTATGCTTGTGCACGATGTTTCTAATTAAGGATGTGGTCCTATATGCTTGTCCACGATGTTTCTGATCACCTTTATAGACCCGTATCCTTGTCCACGATCAAGGTGTGAAGACCTGTATGCCTGTACAGGTTGTTTCTGATCAAGGTTGTGGATCTGTATGCTCGTCCACGATGTTTCTGACCAGCTTTGTAGATCTGTATGCATGTCCACGATGTTTCTGATCAAAGTTTGTAGACCTGCATGCTTGTACGGGTTTGTAGATCTGTATGCTTGTCAATGATGTTTCAAATCAAGGTTGTAGATCCGTATGCTTGTCAATGATGTTTCAAATCAAGGTTGTAGATCCGTATGCTTGTCAATGATGTTTCAAATCACTGACTGACTGAGTTTGGTTTTACGCCGCTTTTAACAATATTCCAGCAATATCACGGCGGGGTACACCAGAAATGGGCTTCACACATTGTACCCATGTGGGGATTCGAACCCGGGTTTTCGGCGCGACGAGCCAACGCTTTAACCATTAGGCTACCCCACCGCCCCTGTTTCAAATCAAGGTTGTAGATCCGTATGCTTGTCAATGATGTTTCAAATCAAGGTTGTAGATCTGTATGCTTGTCAATGATGTTTCAAATCAAGGTTGTAGATCTGTATGCTTGTCAATGATGTTTCAAATCAAGGTTGTAGATCCGTATGCTTGTCAATGATGTTTCAAATCAAGGTTGTAGATCTGTATGCTTGTCAATGTTGTTTCAAATCAAGGTTGTAGATCCGTATGCTTGTCAATGATGTTTCAAATCAAGGTTGTAGATCTGTATGCTTGTCAATGATGTTTCAAATCAAGGTTGTAGATCCGTATGCTTGTCAATGATGTTTCAAATCAAGGTTGTAGATCTGTATGCTTGTCAATGATGTTTCAAATCAAGGTTGTAGATCCGTATGCTTGTCAATGATGTTTCAAATCAAGGTTGTAGATCTGTATGCTTGTCAATGATGTTTCAAATCAAGGTTGTAGATCTGTATGCTTGTCAATGTTGTTTCAAATCAAGGTTGTAGATCCGTATGCTTGTCAATGATGTTTCAAATCAAGGTTGTAGAACTGTATGCTTGTCAATGATGTTTCAAATCAAGGTTGTAGAACTGTATGCTTGTCAATGATGTTTCAAATCAAGGTTGTAGATCCGTATGCTTGTCAATGATGTTTCAAATCAAGGTTGTAGATCCGTATGCTTGTCAACGATGTTTCAAATCAAGGTTGTAGATCTGTATGCTTGTCAATGATGTTTCTGATCAAGATTGTAGACCTACAGACATGCAATCTGGTCCATGATATCTGTGAAAATGATTATCACATGTAGTCCCGTCCATGACGTTTATTTTATGATCCTTACAATGTAAGCCTGCCAGAATCCGCGATGTGTGTGGTTATGTGTTTACACATGTAAGCATGTGAGTGTCCATTTTGTTTTTGATCGGGTTGTAAACCTCTGTGCTTGTCCATGATGCTTTGATCCCAGTTTCACAGATGTAAGCCTTTCCATGATATATTTTTGTCTCAGTTTTTCCGATGTAAGACTTTCCATGATGTTTTTGTTTATGGTTAGAACATGTTTTACAGGGGTCTGTTGGAGAAGGACGAACTACAGAAAATAAAATCAACATTAGAAGGCAGCGAAGAAATCCAACGACATTCCTTTGTTGTGAGATTCTTTCGTGTCTTTCAATTTTATTTCTTTTAAGGGACAAATGCCACATCAATGCTGTTTGCACATAAAGAAAAGGGATACCCAGAAGGATGGGTTGTAGTATGTGTTTAATGTTCCCCAGGGAGCTGAGAAAGTAACCTTATTGTAATGTAAATTGAATGCACGCTGACCCATTGTCTGAAATACTGATACTCTATGAGCAAAGCCAAGGGATACACAGAAGGAAGGGTTGTAGTATGTGTTTAATGTTCCCCAGGGAGCTGAGAAAGTAACCTTATTGTAATGTAAATTGAATGCACACTGGTCCTATTGTCTGAAATAATGATACGCTGAGCACGGTCCTAACTGGTGTTAAGGTTTCATATTTTAGTTGTTGTTGAGATAGTTACTAGACACATGTAAACTAACGCAAGTCAGAATCAAATCAGGCGATGCCTAACGGGATCGGTGGTCTGTCTCGCTGACTTGGTTGACACATGTCATCGTATCCCAGTTGCGTAGATCGATGCTCATGCTTTTGATCACTGGATTGTCTGGTCCAGATAACTGGAATATCGGAGTGTGACGTTAAACAACAGACAAACAAATCGAATGATTTTAATGCTAGTTTAATTAGTGTTTAAATGCAGTGACTGAAATGAGTTTTATACCGCCTGAAGCTACAGTTGAGTGATATCGCCACGGGAGGCCCCAGTGGTTGTCTTCAGACGTTAAACCATTCTGGGAATTGAACCCGTGACGTCAAGCATTTCGTAAAATTTATCCATTTACTATACAGCGCGAAACATTGATTTTATATATTTGCGCTTTTTTTGTTACAATTTGTCACCACTCGCCATTTTCGGTAACCTCAAAACAAAAGGCTTTCTAAATGGCTTAGAATTCGGAACGATACGAATGGTCCGTTACGTTTCCGCGCACAGACATTAATACCATGGGTATTTAAGAGAGACTTCGTGAATAATATCACTTGAAAGTGTAACAATCGATGTGTTTGTTTCACAGACTGATGACAGTGAAGGGAGAAAATCCCGCGTGTCACTTTGGTGTCAACCCGGAAATGACGTCACGGGAATGCTGTCCCGGAGTCAAAGAGTTGCTGGAACCTCCGCCGAAGTAAGAAATCATTAAATACATTGATAAAAGTCTTGTAATTCCTCAAGATAATTAACTCTTTCAGCTGTATACGTTGAAGATACTGAACTATTTCTTGATGTCAAAATGTCAGGTTTGAAAATCAATTTAGGTAAATCAAAAGCAATCTAGATTGTATCAAAAGCTAAATCTACTGATAAGATATGTAATGACCTGAAAATTCAATGGGTAACTGGTGAATTTGATGTACTTGGTATTTTTACACCAGATCTTAAAAGATTATGGGTATTCAACACCAGAAAGAGACTGGGAGAAATTAATAGACGCTTAGCAGCTTTGAGAAGAAGATGATTAACACATATTGGTAAAATAACAGTGATACAATCCCTAGCAATCTCCAAACTAGCTCATATTTTCAATTCTTTGCCCAACCCACCAGCAGAATGTATTACTTCGCTTGAAAAACTATTTTTATAATTCATGTAAAATGATGAAAATGATAAAAGTGAGAGGGTGTAATAAAAAACGAACAAGAAGGAGGACTGAGAGTGATGGATGCAAATAGATTGATTGATGCTTTGAAATTATCCACCTTAAGACTTTATTTTAAAAAATGTGAAAAGAAATCCATGCAATATACCTTTCAAAGATATATTTAATTTTGGAGCAAATTCTGAAACTTTTATTGAGAGTGAAAACTTTCTTTTACATGATGTGCTAAAAGCATTGAAACTATTTCACAAACAAAGTTATGTTGACCCAAATAACATCAATGAAATTCCATCGCAGCCACTATGGTTGAATCACAATTTCAAAAGCTCTACACATTTTATAAAGAATTGGGCAGAACAAGGGATTATGAATATTAGGGATATAAGTGATGAAAATGGATTACTATCAATGGAATCTTTAATAGAAAACTATCGTATCAAAGGTGCTTTTTTAGATTTTAGATATTTACTGAATATATATTTATTGAATGTAAACCGGATCATCGTCGCTGTACGTTGTTATTAACCCACTTCGTCATGTGTTTGTGATGTGTTAGTGACGTCACGTTTGGTGACGACTGGGTCCAGGGTATTTATTGTAACAACCTGGGGATATTATACACTGCACTACCGAGGATGGACCTTTGAAAATCCAATTTCATACTCAATGTGCGCATGTGGCATTGATGCTGTTCTATTTGTAGAGGGAAATTAGGGTCCCAGGAACCATGGTAGGTAGGTAGGTATGTAGGTAAGGTTTTAGGGCGACCTTGGGCCTTAAAAGCCCTATATGCACCCCCAGGAACCATGCTAAATAATTAGAGTTACGCCCCTTGCTCTTGGATTCGAATCCCTATTGGAGTGTTACGATGGTTTGTCAGCCGCACGTAAACAACGTACAGAATTTGACTTTCGGCATGATCAACTCATCATCTGTTAGAATGTACGCTTCATTTGGTTTAAAATGACTTTGTGCCTTAGGGGCAAATGATAAAAATAATGCCACAGATATTAAAACCGACGCAGGCCATGACATACCAGTAGTCCTTATTTTATCCTCTCAATGCCGAGCGCTAGGCGAGGCAGCTGGCACCGACGTTAAACGTTCGTTAGTAGACACAGACAGAGGGAAAGACACAAAGCTTTCAGCGCTCCACGGGACTGTACTACCCAGGCCTCGGTGGCAGCGTCACTTTGATTTTTACCTTTGCTGGGTTGTGACTTTCAGCTGCTTGGGGGAGAGGTGTATCACTACTACACGAAGCTGATGATGAAGGAGGCCCGGACTGGCGGACGATTTGTGTGGCATCAGGATTATGGGTTTGTTTGCTTGTTTGTTTGTTTGCTTGTTTGTTTACTTGGCGTTGAGCAACATTCCATCCATTCTTGCGTCTGGATCAGAACATCGAGTGTTCAGTCTCAAGAACATGATCTACGGATTTGGAATACGATTACATGAATCCCGTTAGTCGCTTCATGAATATGCATTTGTTACCGAAGACCAAATTTAACTCGTATCTCTACTGGAGTAATTGTGAAATGGTTGCGATCAACAGTTTCCAGATGCACATGGATTCGAACCCTAACACATAACATCAAATGAAAATAGGACTAGTGTGTATAAGTTATGCCTTTGATGTTTCAGAACATATTATTAGCAGTGTTATTAGCAAATTAAAACAAATGTTTGTTTGTTTTTATATTTTCGTGAAATGTGCATCATGAACACACCATGCCCTCTCCTTTGTTCAACAGAAAGTCACCTGCTAGTTCTTGCCACACGCGTGAGGATGTCAACTAATAACTATGCTGTACACTTAGGATACGTGTACGGTACATATGTACCATGTGTGGTGTATCACTACTACTGTATCAGATACTGTTACAGGTATTGGTACAACAACGGGAACCTGTATCCTGACATGTTGAGTGTGTTTGTTGCCATCGACAAGTGTGAGAAGGCTAACGGATGTCTACAGGTAAACACCAACACCATTGTCCTATCTTGTTTACGTCATCGCCAGCAATGCTGCAGTTGCGTCACAGTCGTTGCCGATAAATGATCGAGTCTGGTACCACGATTTCCGATGATGGTCAATCAAGACTCTGAGACGGATTACCCGGACATATTCTCACTGGCGGAACTGTTCTCTACATAAGTGATTTATTTACCGTTAACATCACAAGTGAATCAGCATGTTCTCAAAGCAAGGGAGTTAACTCATTGTAAAAGTCAAATTTGGAACTGGTAGGCTGATCGAAAAAACCCATCCGTAGCCACTATCACTTATGTCCCTTGTATATCCATGTTGTCGTTTTTCAACTGGATGTGGATTTTGTTACGCGGTTGTGATAAAACTGAGACAGACCTCAATAAGTCCATGTCATCTCCCTTGCCATGGGAGAATGGTCAGTTACCGAACGTACGTTTTCATTTTAGGTTCTGGAAGGTTCTCACAAATGCGGTCGTATTGAACACAGCAGGGTCGGAGGTCAGATGGGGGCAGACATGGACAGGGTGGAACAGCTGAGATCAAGACTGCCTCATAAATATATGGAGATGAATCCAGGTATAGCTACACAACGGCTGAATTCCAGTTTCAGAAAATAACGCTTCAGAAACGACTATTCTTCATGAAGCATTTTACCTACGACATTTACAGGTGACCCACTGACTATAAACACATTCATTTCCATCGGCAAGGTTACAAGGTGACACCTTTCACTGACTACGAAGGCATTAATTCCACTGACATCAGAAAGGTTACAAGGTGACACCTTTCACTGACTACAAAGGCATTAATTTCACTGACATCAGAAAGGTTACAAGGTGACACCATTTATTGACTTCAAGCGCATGAATTTCACTGATAGTAGCAAGGTTACAAGGTAACACCTTTCACTAACTACAAACGCATTAATTTCATTCACATCAGCAAGGTTACAAGATGACACACGCTTTTAACTTATCACTACATCACAGATAGTACCATCTTCTTTCACCAGCTACAACTCTTTCACAGGTGACGCCCTCTTCTTTCACTGCAACGTTCTCCACACCAACGCCGCCAACGTGAGCGACAAAAGACGCTGGGTGTTCATCGCCTGCTATAATAAAGCCAGCAATGACCCCGTTATTGAGCACCACTACCCTCGTTATAACAAGCTGGATATCGTAAGAAATAATTTCAATATAAATCACGTTTAACAGATTATAGATCATCTCCGCGATATGCCTTGACTTATATTAATAGCGTTTGTCAAACTAAGACTGTGTATCTAAGTAATGACGGTAGTCAGTAACTGCAAGAAACATGCTAGGACGTCACGTGTCTACCGACAGGTATGGGGCGGTGTGGGTAGTCTAGTGGTTAAAGCGTTCGCTCGTCACGCCCAAGACCTTGGTCGATTCCTAAAAGGGGTACAATGTGTGAAGCCCATTTCTGGTGTCCCCCGCCGTGATACTGGTAATAGTGGCGTAAAACCATACTCACCCACTCACTCACTCTGACAGGTGGACGACAAAGCCATTCGTGAGTGCACAAATGTCACCGACATGGATGGCAAAGCCTTCCTGGATCCTTCAGACAACAAGACGATCGAGGCTTCCAGAGGATAGGGATTTCCCTGAAGCTTCCTCGCCGCTGATTCGTGACTGCTTCAATAGTGCTTCATGACTGATTTGCTGCTTGCTGCTTCATCTCATTAATGATGATTGAGTTACTGATACATTGCAATTTTCGTTGCCCCAAAGGCATGATAGTGATGAGAAATATATTATACGGTTTTTGAAGATTCACATTTGGGTGCCCAGAACCTCGGTCATTGACGTCGTATCCCAGACATACCCGATATCTCAGATACATGAATATTATTCATGAATAAGCTCTCACTTCAAGCTATGGCACATTCGTGTAAGAAGAAAGGAAGGTTTTATTGTCTATTATAGATTTTCAAAGGCCTTTGATACAGTTAATCACAAAATTCTTCTGTCAAGTCTGAAAAGTCGGTGTTGGTGATAAATTCTATAACATTCTTGTACCAATGTATGATAGGTTATCGGCTTGTGTCAGAAACCTCATGGTCTTTCAAGTCATTGTGATTGTAGTATTGGTACTTGCCAGGGCTGTATCTCCAGTCCTCAGTTGTTTTGTAATTTTGATTATTTCTTTATTAATCAGCTTGTGGGAAGTATGGATCAATTTGGTGGCTGTGGTATATTTATTTACCTGATGTAATAATCTATATGCTCTAATGTTTGCGGATGATGTGTCCTCAGTCTCCGATACTGGGCCCCTTAGACAGCATGAAAAGTGGTGTCATTATGATCAAAAGGCTGGAAGCTGTTTCATACTACAGGTATCTAGGTATTATACTGCAGGTATTTGGGTATTGTGTTCACTCCTAGGCTAGTATGGACTAAAAGCTCAGACTTCTTCAGGCCAGTAAAACCCTTAAGGCTATCTATAAATACCAAAAAGGAGAAGGTAATTTGTCATGTGTAGATTTCAAAATATTTGATGGTATGGTTGAACCTATTCTTTGTTCCGGTTCAGAAATATGGGGTGTCACGCTGGATATGGCGGACGTCTTTCTCTTTGGCGTCATGTCGGATGTAGTGAGGAAATGTGCATTTTGTGAATGGTAATCATCAAGCGCTTATTCCAAACGCTGCTTAATCCTTAATTCTGTCTATATCAAGAGCAAACGTTTATGAATAAGAGTCGAACAGTTATGACACCAGGTGTTCGGAGGGGAGTGAGCCTTTCCTAACTAACAAACAGATGCAAAGGCAACCTGCTGTTTACCTGAAACAAACGGGTATATGGTACAGGCTAAAATAGGTGTCGCAAATGCGTCAAGATTGAAACCGTCCTTCCCATGTTACATGAAGCCTTTTCAAACAGATACTGAGGCCTACGATATCGTAACCGTGATCAAACAGCTTTTGGGAAAGAGCCGAATGAACCTCTATTGAATCTGATTGTAGTTCAAAATGTACTTGTGAAATGTAAACGCCAAAGATTGAAGTGTTGGAATATTGCTTGATGTACAGGGAAAATAAACACTTTGAAAATTGAAGTCACCTTGTCAAACATCTTGTCTTGTGAAACTTTATTCAGAGATATGTCATTTGATAGACAATGCAATATCCCTGGTTTCCTTAATGTCCCAGCTCAGGCGGATACCTCACTGGAGATGAGTGAGTGAGTTTAGTTTTACGCCGCAGACAGAAATATTCCAGCTATATGGGGCGGTCTGTCAATGATCGAGTCTGGTCCAAACAATCCAGTGATCAACAGCATGCGCATCAATCTGCGCAATTGGGATACGATGACATGCGTCAACCAAGACAGCGAGCCTTTATTCAGGCTGGACATCCAGGGTGAGAGTATGATCTTCACAAAAACCGAAACTTGAGTCTCATTACTAATTCAGACAATAACTTACTTTTCAGCCGGTCCGAATTTTCTCGTATGAAAGTGAAAAGAGACACTACAAACAACGAGGGTTACACTGAATTCCAGTTCCTTGTTTCATAAGAAAATGATATTTATAAATTAATTTTAATTTTAAAGTTTTAAACAATCATATTTCTATATTTTATGTCGAGGTTTAGGCAGCATGTCTTTAACTAAGACGTCACAGACTGCCCCCTGTTTGATTGGTCGTACAATGATTCACAATTCATCTGGCTCACTGGTTACACCTGTTATGTGTTCTTTGCGCTTATTACATGTGTTTTTGTAACGTACAATGTGATTGATATAATATCAAGTCCGCACCAGACCGCCAAACTTTTCTAGCGGCAGAGCCTCGTTTTGAGTTTTCCATGATTTCCAGATTTCCGTTTGTCAGAGCTCGCTGTTCGACAGAGCGCGCTGCACGGCGTGTTTGCAAGGAGTAGAAGGAGCGTAGTGTTGCAACAAACAAGTGATTAGATGTATCAAATAATACTGATGAATATTTACGTATCCAGTTGAATGAGTTGGTCTCAAAATTCTGTACTTGTTATTGAACTTATTGTGCTGACTTGCGCAATAGGACGGAACCCAGTCGGCAGGAAACGAGACTGCCTTGTAATCAATGTTTTGACTTGAATCGATGTTGTGTAGGATGACAGAGATATGCGCTTGATCCCGTCGATATTTCTTTAACTTCCACACCACTGCTTAGATCACCACTGCTGTGAGTGAGTGAGTGAATGAGTGAGTGAGCGTCACTTTTAGAAATATTCCAGCTTCATACATTGTACCCATATGGGGAATCGAACCCAGGTCTTCGGCGTGACGGGCGAACGCTTTACCCAAAAGGTTATCCCACCCCCAGTAATACATCCCAGACAGATTATTGACAAAGACGGGTACTTTATTAGACTTTTTTGGTTCTTTGTCTGTTTGACGCCTGTTTAACGCCATACCCAGCAATATTCCAGCTATATGGCGATGGTCTGTAAATAATCGAGTCTGGACCAGACCAGTGATCAACAGCATGAGCTTCGATCTACGTGTGTTAACACCACTTTGAGAAGAAATATAAAGTTTTAAACCTATCAAATGTAAATTTAAGTCTGGACCAGAACATCCAGTGACTGACATCATGAGTATCTGTCTACGACGAAATGGATTCACCAAGTCAGCGAACCTGACCACCAGATCCCGTTAATCCCTTTTTACCAGGGGCGCCGAAGACTAGGGTTTGATTACCGCATGGGTACAATGTGTTAAGTCAAATTCTGGTGTCCCCGCTGTGATATTGCTGGAATATTGCTAAAAGCAACGAAAAGCATGGGTTTGCTGAAGAGTAGTTCTAACAAGAATCTTTGCAGAGTTATTTTCATGAGAGTGATTAAAACTATCGACAAGCATGGGTTGCTGAAGACTAATTTTAACCAGGATGTTTGCATGGTGGGATTCCTGAGAGTGATTAAATATTTGTGAGTGAGTGAGTTTGGTTTTACGCCGCACTTAGCAATATTCCAGCTATATGGCGGCGGTCTGTAAATAATCGAGTCTGGACCAGACAATCCAGTGATCAACAGCATGAGCATCGATCTGCGCAACTGAGAACCGATGACATGTGTCAACCAAGTTAGCGAGCCTAACCACCCGATCCCGTTAGTCGCCTTTTACGACAACTGACTGACTGAGTTTAGTTTTACGCCGCTTTTAGCAATATTCCAGCAATATCACGGCGGGGACACCAGAAATGGGCTTCACACATTGTACCCATTATACGACAAGCATAGTCGCCTTTATGACAAGAATGGGTTGCTGAAGACCTATTCTACACCGGATTTCACGGGTCGATTAAATATTTGTACAAGTATGGGTTGCTGGAGATTAATTCTAGCCAAGGTGGTTTTCATGAGAGTGATTAAACATATCATATGTCTTTTGACACATATGGATTTTATCGAGAACAACATGAACAGTCGTAGGCTTGTTAGAAACTGTAATCCGTCCCTATCTATGTATACCAAATAGTGTTGTAAAAGCCAAGGTCAGATAAACATGGCATGCATATACAGTTCAACTAAACCTGTAAGACCACAAAAAGGGTAGTTGTCGTGATGACATGTAGTACATCATACAGTGGTCGAACTGTACAAAGACAGCCTTTAATGAGATAAAGTAACATATGTGAATTATCTCACTGTCTTTATAAGGTCGCATAAAAAATCATATTTTTCATCATTTATTAAAAGTACAATTGGATGTAGGTAAAATTTTACTTTTTCATTATTACATTTAGATATATAACCTTTATTAAATAGTAGATAGTAACCTTTATTAAATATTAATTAAGAATGACTTTACTGTCGTCATTGAGGTTTCGTCAAAAGTACAGCTTTCAAATAGAAACGAATTCGTAACGGGAACTCAGAACCAACCCGACCTATTAACTAATAATTACCTCGACACATGTGTCAGTTTAAGGTTTTTCGTCGTACACAATCGTTTTTCAATGTACTGAAGGACAACTCCTGAGCTGGGCTCTGTCTTTACATGTAGCAAGTTGTCGCAGCGCACATTGAGGTTCCCTACACTAAATCAGTATCACATGCTCCTGCGCGAGAGCCGTATGTAAACAAGTGAAGAGAGACAGAGACATGTGACAGCTGTGATTGGATGAAATAGTGTAAGATGTTTGTTTTTTAAAAGGACATCCAACCAGTAATTAAAACTGACCACAATTTTAAGTATTTAGTGCTGTCATTTTTATCACCATCACTCATACTTATTGTGTGTACAGATATTTTCCAGTAGGTGACATTTTGTGCGGAACTAGGGTTGATGTGTTCCGCTTCCTGTGCTCGCAAAATGAGCCGGACAAGTTGGCCTGATATTTTGTTTTATTGTAGTTTAAAGGCCAGAGTGTACCCATGTGTACATGGAATGGCTGTTGATAGCCTGGATATTTTTAACCAAAAAATATAAGGTTACTACAGAAGTCTATGGGAAAACATTTGGTGGTGTGTAACCTGTAGTGTGGAACCAGACCGGAAGAGAGAAGTTGGACCATCGCTTACAACATTTTCAAAAGGAGAGTTATCGCCCTTCAGAGCAGAAAGCTTGCCCATTACGAGTTTTGTTTCTGTGAAACAGTGATTCATAAACACATATTCATGATACAGACGAAACCCATAATAGTGTCAATGAAACATATATATTTTTCGCAAACAAAATATGCAACAAAAACAGGGCTGTAAGAAACAGTACGTGAAAAAAAACCCCAGTGTATCTTTATGTGGCCTGACCTTGTCCTTGACCCCAAACAGGCGGATCATTTCGCCGTTGAGTGTCTTTCAGCGTGCATTCACCATGTTGTCCGGTACGTGAAGCTTTTATTGAATCTTTAGATTCATGAACTGTGTATGTTGAATTATTTCAAACATTGATGTGCAATGGGGCGTAAGTTAAGTTCTATATATAGCTCCATGTCATAGGATATCTTGATTTATGTTGGGGAAATGCGGTCATTGGCTTTAGCGATGTTAGGAACTCGGTCAAACGCCTATTGAGCGGGACAACGAGGGACACGGTTTTGTTGCCTAGTAATATGGTTGTCAAGATCACAATTAGCATAAAGTATGTTGTATATTTTATATTTGAGGTGTGATAAGGTTTGGAGTGAGGAGTTGCAAGCTAGAGCAGTGCTGCTAGCAGTGAGCGACTGTTGGAGGTGTGTGGTATGAGAGGACATTGTAAGGACCGTATTTCCTCTAACTATGTTTCAACGGAGTTCCAGGCTCTTATTAGAGGTCCGACGCTACTACTAGTAGAGTACATTAGATGATAGTGTGGACATTAGATGATAGTAGGGGACATTATATGATAGTGGGGGACATTGGATTCTAGTGGAGGACAGTAGGTGATAGTAGAGGACATTAATGACAGTAGAGGCCATTAGATAATATCGGAGAACATTAGATGATAGTAGAGGACATAAGATCATAGTGGGGACATTAGATGATAGTAGAGGACATTAGATGGTAGTGGGGACATTAGATGATGGTAGAGGACATTAGATGGTAGTTGGGGACATTAGATGATAGTAGAGGACATTAGATGGTAGTGGGGACATTAGATGATAGTAGAGGACATTAGATGGTAGTGGGGGACATTAGATGATAGTAGGGGACATAAGATCATAGTGGGTGACATTAGATGATAGTAGAGGACATTAGATGGTAGTGGGGGACATTAGATGATAGTAGAGGACATTAGATGGTAGTGGGGGACATTAGATGATAGTAGAGGACATTAGATGGTAGTGGGGGACATTAGATGATAGTAGAGGACATTAGATGGTAGTGGGGACATTAGATGATGGTAGAGGACAACAGATGGTAGTTGGGGACATTAGATGATAGTAGAGGTTATTAGATGGTAGTGGGGGACATTGGATGATAGTGGGGGACATAAGATGGTAGTGGGGGACATTGGATGATAGTAGAGGACATTAGATGGTAGTGGGGGACATAGCAGGGAAGCGTGCAGTAGTGTATTGTATTCACTTTTTAAGGACGTGTTAAGGATTGGTAGATGGGAAGTCAGAGCTTTGTTGGGGGTTGTTGTTTTGTTATTATTTGTTTTCTAGTCACCTGGATCTACAGAAGATTTCAGATTTTGATCAAAGTAGATTGACATGCAGCTAGCTAAAGAGCAGGCAGAATGAGAAAGAGAGGAGAGTGCGAATGCAAAGGAAGCTAAAACGTTTGAGCAAGAGTTAGGAGGGAAGTAAACGAGAGAATGGACTTAGAGAAGGCAAGGATAGAAGCAGAGAAAGAGAAGGTTGGAGTTGGAGTTAGAGAAAGAAAAAACCCAGTTAGAAATGACTGAAAGAGTAGAATTGGAGAAATTAATGAAAGAAAATAGTATGATTGAGGCCTCACGAGAACGGTACCCCTTCTCTCCCAGGTAAGCCCCAAAATGCCTAAAATGCCCCTTCGAAGATCAAAAGATAACATTGATGCCTATTTGCAAAGATTTGAGCGTATAGCTAAGACACAAGCATGGCCAGAGTCACAGTGGGTAGCTTATCGCAGTACACTCCTGGAAGGTAAGGCGTTAGAAGTTTACTCTCAAAATGATGCGGAGAAATATGAGGGAAGTGAAGGCCGCTCTTTTGAAGAGATTTGACTGAGGGATGGATTCCATCAACGTTTCAGGACAGCTAAGCTTGAAACAAGGTGAGACATTTTCTCAGTTTGTAGTGAGAATAGGGGAATAGTATGATTGTTCTTCACATCCTGTCACGACAGAGTGAGAAAACTATACACAACATGTCAGTTCAATAAATATCCTACATGAAAAATCGGAAATTGTAAAATTGCATGACAGAATTTATTCAACGCATATATATATTTCGTTAGAATTCCAGTACCACGAAGCGTTTGACATCACTGAAGACATGAAGAAGGCCTACGATGAAAATGGCTACATTCTGATCAGGTAGGAATTTTGGGTTCGTTTTGGTTGTAGACACACTCCAGAAATATATTCAAGATTATTATTGGTGTAATTATTTGTTGATGCCATGGAGAACGCTGGACTCAATACTGGAAGTATCTACCGACTCCAAGTCAACTTTCCGTGATGACGTCAGGTCATGTGATGGCAACAATGCTCGTTAACTCTCGGGACGACGATTAACACCATTCCATTCGGCAACCAACTCATGTTATTCCTGGACAAGCCGAATAGCGATGTTCGTGGAGCATTCGTAACTACTCGTGTCATTCCGGCAAGCCGGATGGCGACTTATATCCCTCTTTGTGGCCATGTTCATGACTGGGCCTTGTCTAAGCGCAAACGGGTACGGAGATGAAAATAGTCTAGTACTATTTCCAAGGAAAGATAACTCTGAATTTCCAAACATAGCGACACCTAGAAATTTATATAATACAACATGAAAGTCACTTTAAGTAAGTTTCTTTTTCGTTAACAAATATCAGTAACAAGATAAATATATTATCACGGAAATAATAATCGCAAAGAAACTATTTGACCCTCATTTCACATTTTACTACGCGCGGTTTGATTGGTTTGCCACGATTCTTGGCAATAATGGCGAACCATACAGGTACCAAAGTCTTCTTGTAGGTCACGGGAAGAGGCCAGTTGTTACGAATGGTTCGTAGAGGCATTCGTCACCACTCGCCCCTTTCCGTAACCTCCAAGAAGACTCGTCCCCATCTCGATGCTTGTTATGTGCGAAAATACGACAAAACCAATCAGAATGCGCGTAATGAAGGCGGTGCTTTGATAAAAATAATCCCGAATACTTAAATCGTTTATGGCATTATGTCATTGTTTTAAAAAAATCTTGAAAAATATGTATCATCATATTGAAAGTACAAGGAATGTAGGTAACATAATTTGTTTTAGCTTATGTGTAGTTTTTAGTAAAGATATTTGCCATGGAAGGTGAGAGATTCAAATCCACGCACGTGCGTTTGTTTACGTAACAGCTCTCATGGGCCCAATTGAGTGTATTTCTGACGATCTTGTGGGCTTGTTGTGGATTTGTGCTTGCACTTCCAACGGTTTTAGGAAATGTAATTATAAATCGCTTACAGTTTTCAAAAACTCTACATGTATATTATATCTGTATGTAACTAATAAACTTTAATCTTTAACATTGGGCACATATTTCCACATCTCTGGGAATATTTTTAGTCTGACTTTTTGGTCTTTCATATATTTTTCCAGTGAAATCATTTAAAATTCGACTTGGGCTATGACAGCAAAGGTTACACCAATGTTCAGTGTGAGAAATATTTTAAAAGTAATTTTGAGTATCTGCTTTGGAATTTGATTTAGCTGAACTTTTAAAACTCTTATTTGCACATTCAGTAAAAAAAATCCTGTTTGTAACAATTAAGCCTTATTTACAGAAATATAATTGGGAAATATATGGTGAACAGCTGGTAATAATTACGTTAGAATATGTCTTGAACAAATATGTCTTTTCTCCCTTCTTTAGTTGTCCATCAAAATACGTTTAATTCCCTTTAAATGAAAAGGTAAAAATACCAAAATAACAATACAACGTACAAATTAGCTTCGGTGATGTTAAGTACCAGTGGGATCAAACAGGAATAGAGTTATCGTTCTTGTTTAAAGTAGTTCTGATGTTCAGAGCGCCAATATAAAACCTTCCAGTGGGGCACGAGTCGCTATTCTGGCTCGGAATAACACGAAGTTGGTCACGAATGTCGTAGAGGTTACGGAAAGGGTCAGTGGTTACGAATGCCATCATTCGTCATACATTCCGTAACCTATACCGAAGCTATCAGCTTTCGGCTTGTCAAACGAATAACACGAGTTGTTACGAATGCCTATATACGACCCACTGCAAGTGATGTAAACATTATTGCACCCAATTAATAAGGCTATACTAGACTTTTATGTTTAGAGGAAACACTAAAAACCTGATTTCAGGGGCTGTTGGATCCGGAGGAAGCAGCACACGTGAAGAAGTCACTGGAGGAATCAGATGAATTTAAAAAAACATTCTCAAAGGATTTTAAAGAATTCTGGCAGCGAAAATGTTTGAAAACATATTCAACTGACATGGCAATTTGAAATTCAGATGTAATTAATCCGAAAAGTTTGTAAAAGAATGAATTCCCAGCATTCAGATTGTTTGATGGAAATTGATTGATTACGTGACTGATCGATCGTTTGATTACGCGACTCAACGATCGTTTTTATATCGCGGAGTGATCGATCGATCGTTTGAATACGTGACTGACCGATCAATCGATTGATGGAAAGTTCGCCGTTACCGGTTTAAACCCAAGTTCTGCATTGTTTTAACCCGAACGTAATATACTATCATTACGTTTACGCTATGCCTCCCCTAACGTTAAACGAGTCAGTCAGTCAGTGAGTATTGTTTTACGCCGCTTCTAAATATTCAAGGCAGCAATATCACGGCGGGGACACCAGAAATGGGCTTCGCTACATTGTATGCCCATGTAGGGGAATCGAACCCGGGTCTTCGGCGTGACAAGCGAACGCTTTAACCACCAGGCTACCCTAATTGCCCCCCTGGCGACATCCATCGTTATGCATCTGATAACTCTTCGTTAACTGAATGTTTCCAGGTCTCAGACGGTGACGACGAGGTCCAAACTGGCCATATGGCGCCATCCTGGAAATGACGTCACGGGAATGGTAACTCGCTGTGACAAAGTGGCGGGAGTTCAGTGACAAGGTAATATATCTCGTCTTGCGAAATGCATCGGTGCGCAATGTTAGTGTACTCACCCGTATGTTAAACAATGTATTGGCAATCCGATGACGTCATGTCCAGAGTGAGTGAAGGAATTTGGTTTTTACGCCGTTTTGTATAATATTCCGGTAATATCACAGCCAGAACACCACCATGGGCTTCACAAATTGTACCCATGTGGGGAATCGAACCGATCAAAGTACCATCTTCTGTTTGGAATGACGCGGGTCGGGATTGAACCCTTGGTATTCCGCTCCTCCAGGCAGACACTGTATCAGCTAAAACCACAGAGACGGGACCGTGGGGGTAGCTTAGTGGTTAAAGTATTCGCTTGTTACGCCAAATCGACCCGAGTTCGATCTCCCAAAGGGATGGTATGTCTGAAGCCCATTTTTTTGGTGTACCTGGCCGTGATATGAATTATATCTATTATAGCTGGCCTTTTGTAACCCGGATATCCTGCTCAAAGCGCACAGTCTGATTATTTTTACCCAAGCTGCCTGTCAGGCACGACTTACACAAGAAAAACAATGAGTGATTTCAAAATTTCCAATTTGGAAATATCATATTTCAAAAAAATTCCAAATTGGAAACATCATGTTTCAAAATTGGAAATGTCTTGGAAACATCATCTTTCCAAGACATTTCCAAGCTTGTAAATGTGGACTTTTCCCAGTGTTATTTCACCGTGTGCCCATTTTTCTGCTGGGTGAACTGAGGCGATATTGAACACACTCATTTGCCTAAGGTGTGGCGTCATATCCCAAATGCGTGTCTTTATGTCCTGATGGTGTGATCACACACTTGCTTCGTTGTGGAGCAGGACAGAAGTCCTATAGTCTGTTGTAGTGAAAACGTACCGATGAATTTCACTCTAACAAAAAGTAAATCAAATTAACTGAAATTAAGATTGCGAATCCTCATAATTTGACCTTGCCAAATAATCATTTAAATCTCAGAATTTTATTCAACTTAGGATAAAAGTTGTTTAACAAACTATCATAGATTCAAATCGCTATTATTGCTTTGTATTACGAGGGAAAGCGCAGTAGATGGAACAGTGAAACAAATGCACGTGCGGTACGTAATGAGAGTTAATTAGACCAACCCTACTTGTTCTGGGTGTTCCATTTAAAGTACGCTATACCCCATGTAATACAAAAACCAATAATAGCCATGTGAAACTATGATCGTTTGTAAAACAACTTTCATCCTAAGGTGAATAAAATTCTGAGGATTTAAAATGTTCAGTTGACAAGATTACAATTATGAGGATTTGCAATCTTAATTTCACTTTATTCGATTTACTTTTTTTGTTTCAGAGGAAATTCATCGGTACGTTTTCACTGCAAACATGATATAGAAGTTCTCAGGAGTCAAGCTGCCGCACACAGTCACCCATCTAAGGACTCTCGTTGCTTAACTCAACTGATTTGTGACCCGAGATCTATGCACAGGACCACAAGCCACCAACATTACTGTAATATTGCAAAACCTCACTCACTCAATCACTCGCGAGAGAGGCGGTTCTAGATAGCCAGGTACAAACACGGGTTTGTGCTTCTACTCTTTTCTTCTTCATCAGTTGCTAGGAGGGGAAAGCTACATCTACCACTGCAAGTTGATGATGAAGGGAAGCCATGACTGGGGCAAGTTTCTCTGGCATCAGGACTATGGGTAAACACTTTGAACCCTCTAATTTCTAATGCCCAAATATTGATCCGCTTAAGCTTGTGTTGATTCAGTTTGATATTGATGCGATCATGATATCCACTTTCAATTTTGTCGATCTGTGTCCCGATCCACAAAGCGTTCGTAATGTTACGACCTGTCGTAACTCTGAAGTTTTACCATAGGCTTGTGAATGTCGTAGCGTTACGAACGCTTTGTGGATCTTGACTCTGGTGGCCTGAAGCGTCGTATAGTGAAGTGCAGAGTTTCAAGTCTTGGTTTCCCGGATCCTATAATTGTGGGTTCGAATCCGTTTTTCGCTACTGTTTATATTATCTCCCGTTACGAAGTGGGAAGGGATAGAGGTTTGAGCTCCGTCCGTCCGGCTGGCCGAGATTATGGGGACAGATTTTCTCAAAAACATGTATAGATAGGAAAACCAAATTTGGCATGTGTTTTCAGGACATGAATGCCTTGATGGACGGAAACCGTGTTACAATTTCTGACAGAGTTATGACCCTTGTCTTGCGTTTCTTGACGTAGTGCACAGTAAATTTTACATTCTTCATGATTATGTTACCACGATAAGAGATAGTACAGTACAGCCGCTTTAAAACAATTCAGTCCCTCACGACCTGTTTGATGCAGGGGATCATAAATAATCGGCATGGATCATGCTATCGACAGTTGTCTAAGGCCATATTATGACAACGGAAGCAAGGCAGCCCAGTGTTTTAAGTGTTCGCTCATCACCCCGAAAGCGCGGGTTCGATTCCCAAAGGGTAGAATGATTGAAGTGAAATTGCTGTTTTCTCTAGGTTGAATATTGTACAAATTGGCCTCAAATACTCACTCACTGACATCATATAATAGCTGTGGTATTGATAATGGGCCGTTTAATATTTCAGCTATTGGTACAAGAACTGCTGCCTATTTCCGGACATGCTCAGTGTCTTCCTTCCCGTTGACCGTTCTGTGAAGGAAAACGGCTGCCTTGAAGTAAGCTATATATATACGTACATGCATATAATATTCTTTGGTTTATGAACTGTAGCTTGATATCAGTCACTGGAGTGTCTATTTCAGACTCGAGACCCGTGAAGATCCGGGTTAGAATATTGATCTTCAGTAACCCATGCTTGGCGTAGAGGCGCCTAACGGGAACGGGTGGTCAGACGCGCTGACTTGGTTGACACATGTCATCGGTTCTCAATTGCGTAGATCGATGCTCATGCAGTTGATTACTGGATTGTCTAGTCAGAATCGATTATTTACAGACCGCCGCCATATAGCTGGAATATGGCTGAGTGCGGCGTAAAACCAAACTCATTCACTCACTCCAGACTCCAATATTTACAACTTGGATATTGCTGAGAGACAAACACACGCACAAAGAATCACCACGCTGCCCCGATTGAAAGTTGACACTGCTTGAAGCGTTCGTAAAATCTCTCAGCCATATCCCTGTTTCAGAGAGGTATGGCTTCGTCTCTAAACAATATTCACTCCCTTTTACGCCCCTCTGACACGAAGGGTGAGCGATTCGCTTGTGGTATGGAACTGATAGGAATCACACATTTCGAACTTTTGAGAGTTGATATTTCAAATTTTTATTGGAGATTGGAAAGCATAATGATTCTTTAAAGTGTCATGGTGTATTTTGATCTTTCGTTTTATTTAAAATATCTTTTTGGCATTTGATTTCGTTATGAGATCCGTAAAATATATATAGAGGTATTCGTCACAGTCATACTTGTTGACTGCCTCGTGCGTGTAGTAAGTTAGGAGCGTCCGCCCGACAGCGAAGGTCGCGGGTTCCCCGACCGCGTCATACCAAAACGTTATGCCATGGTACTTGTTGGTCCCTGCCTGGCGCTCGGCATTAATGGGTACAACAAGGACTGGTCGGAGTCGAGTCAGTATAATGTGTCTGAGGTGGGGTATTCAGTGCTTCACTGCGGCATGGTATCTCAGTGGGCTAGCACTATAAAACCAGCTTCCAGTCTGGGCAGAGTATAACAGCCGCACCTGCACATACACATGCACGTCGTCATATGAGCGAAATATTCTCAGAAGCACGACGTTAAGCCTAATTTCACCTCACCTCACCCACCTCCTCACCTCATTACTTGTTAAACCGTTGAGAATTGACTTATCTTGGTTGGGCGTGTATGATGGCCTAGTAATTAAAGTGGTCGTTCAAAGACCATGGTTACAGTGTAATGAAACCCATTTCTGGTGTCCCAACCATTAAATTATATTGCTTAAAAGCGGTGTAAAAACCTTCCTCCCACTCACCTTCCTCTATTGTTGCTTTTGTTTCGAAATCTCTATCAGATCCTGAGGGGTCCCACCGATAATGGTGGTATCGAACATCTGATGGTGGGGGACAGACAGGGGCTGACTTGGAGAGAGGGTCGCGGAAGTCAGGAGGATGTGTCGACACAAGTATATAGAGATGGAGCCAGGTGATAGTGTATGGTTTGGACAAATATATAGAGATGGAGCCGGGTGATGATGTATAATTTGGACATGTATATAGAGATGGAGCCAGGTGATGGTTTATAATTTGGACAAGTGGACAAATATATGAGATGGAGCCAGGTGATGGTGCTATAATTTGGACAAGTATATAGAGATGGAGCCAGGTGATGGTGTATAGTTTGGACACATATAGAGATGGAGCCGGGTGGTGGTGTATAGTTTGGACAACTATATAGAGATGGAGCCAGGTGACGGTGTATAGTTTGGGCAAATATATGGGAGAAGGAGCCAGGTGATGGTGTATAATTTGGACAAATATATAGAGATGGAGCCAGGTGATGATGTAATAGCTCTTGGATCAAGCATATAGATATGGAGCCAGGTGATGGTGTATAGTTTGGACAACCGCATAGAGATGGGAGCCAGGTGACTGATTGTATAGTTGGACAACTATATAGAGATGGAGCCAGGTGATGGTGTATAGTTGGTAGGGACAAATATATAGAGATGGATCCAGGTGATGGTGTGGCAGTTTGGAGTCAAATACTACAGAGATGGAGCCAGGTGATGGTGTATAGTTTGGACAACTATATAGAGATGGAGCCAGGTGACGGTGTATAGTTTGGGCAAACATATAGAGAAGGAGCCATGTGGATGGTGTATAGTTTGGACAAGCATATAGAGATGGAGCCAGGTGGATGGCGTATAATTTGGACAAATATAGAGAGATGGAGCCAGGTGATGATGTATAGTTTGATCTAAGCATATAGATATGGAGCCAGGTGATGGTGTATATTTTGGACAAATACATAGAGATGAAGCCAGGTGAGACGGTGCATAGTTTGGACAACTATATAGAGATGGGAGCTGTGCATTGACGGTGTAGCAAGTTTGGGCAAATATATAGAGATGGGATCCAGGTGATGGTGTATAGTCGGATCAAAATACATAGAGAGATGGAGCTAGGTGATGGTGTATAGTTTGACAACTATATATATGAGATGGAGCCAGGTGACGGTGTATAGTTTGGGCAAATATATATAGAGAAGGAGCCATGTGACAGTGTATAGTTTGGACAAGTACATAGAGATGGAGCCTTAGTGATGGCGTATAATTTGGACAAATATAGAGAGATGGAGCCAGGTGGATGATGTATAGTTTGGATCAAAGTATATAGACATGGAGCCACAGGTGATGGTGTGCATAGTCTGGACAAATACATAGAGATGAAGCCAGGGTGACGGTGTATAGTTTGGACAACTATATAGAGATGGAGTCAGGTGATGTGGTGTATAGTTTGGGCAAAGATATAGAGAAGGAGCCAGGTGATGGTGTATAGTTTGATACAATTATATATAGAGATATGGAGCCAGGTGATGGTGGTGTATAATTTGGACAAAATATATAGAGATGGAGGCCAGGTGATGATGCTATAGTTTGATCAAGTATAGCAGAGATGGAGCCAGGTGATGGTGTATAGTTTTAGGATAAATATATAGAGATGGAGCCAGGTGATGGTGTATAGTTTGGACAAATATATATAGAGATGGAGCCAGGGGATGATGTGTAGTTTGGATCAAGTATATAGAGAAGGAGCCAGGTGGATGGTGTATAGTTTGGACAAATATATAGAGATGGAGCCAGGTGATGGTGTATAGTTTGGACAAATACATAGAGATGGAGCCAGGTGATGGTGTATAGTTTGATCTGGCATATAGAGATGAGCCAGGTGGATGGTGTATAATTTGGACAAATATATATAGAGATGGAGCCAGGTGGTGGTGTATAGTCGGATCAAATACAGAGATGGAGCCAGGTGATGGTGTATATATTCTTCTGGAAAATAGAAGTTTGTGTAGTAGTACCGCGATATTGCTGAATATTGCTAAAAAGCGGCGTAAAACATATCACTCACTCTCTAAATGCCTTTCAAGACTTTATAACAGTATATCTTCGCAGCTAATTTTTAGCTGCAGATTTTATTTCATTCTCTAAAATCATTGTTAAACATTTCTACCTACAGTGAAACATAGTTACAAGGGAAATCTAACATCCTCCATACCAAAATGATTTTAGAGTCCAGAAACTTGTTACACCGTCCTCATTACCTGTGGTCATTCAACGGGTGGTGTAGCCTGAGTGGTTAAGCGTTCGCTCGTCACGCTTCGCCTAGGCCTGGAGTTCGATCTCCCCACGTAATTTACAGTGTGTGAAGCACATTTCTGCTTTCCCCGCCACTGATATTTAACGGAATATTGCTAAAAAGCGGCGTAAGAACTCACTCATTCACTTAGCTGGTATTCGTTATCTTAGGTGACGCCCCTCTTCTTCCTACCGTAACCTCCTCCTACACAGCAGCGGTATCAACAATAGCTCCATGAGACGCTGGGTGCTCATCTGTGCCTTCAACAAGGCCACCAACAACCCGGTCTATGAACATGAATACCCGCAGTATACTAAACGGAAGCAAAGGTATGTGGCCATCGTGTAATTCGCAGCACTATAATTAACTAAAACAAAGTATGAAATACATTATAATTCGCACTATACTAAACTAAACAAGGTATGAACACGTGTACCCGCAGTATACTAAACTAGAACAAGGTATGTACACGTGTACTGCACTTTATACTTAACTAAACAAAGTATGAACACGATGTACCCGCACTATACTTAACTAAACAAAGTATAAAACACGTGTACTGCACTATACCAAAGCTGGAAACAAAGGCATGAACACGTGCAAAATTCGCAGCATACTAAACTAAACAAGGTATGAACACGTGTACTCGCACTATACTTTAACTAAACAAAGTATGAACACGTGTACCCGCACTATACTCTAACTAAACAAAGTATGAACACGTTGTACTCGCACTATACTAAACTAAATTAAGGTATGAACACGTGTACCCGCAGTATACCTAAACTAAACAAGGTATGAACACGTGTAATCGCACTATACTTAAATAAACAAGGTATGGAACACGTACTCGCAATTATACTAAGCCTCCAAGCAAGGTATGAACATGAATACCCGCAGTATACTAAACTAAACAAGTTGTGAACACCTGTACTCGCATCTACAATTACTAAACAAAGGCATGAACACGTGTGCCACTCGCATATTAAACTAAACAAAGGTCTGTACACGTGTACTCGCTTGCTATACTAAACTAAGCAAGAAGTATGAACACGTGTACCCGCATATACTAAACTAAACAAAAGTATGAACACGTATTGCCCGCATATACTAAACCAAACAAAGTATGAACAATTTACCTCGCTATCTATACTAAACTAAACAAGGTATGAACACACGTACCCGCAGTATACTAAAACAAAAACAAGTAATGAACACGTCTACACGAAGGATACTGAAACTAAACAAGGTATATACGTCGTACCCGCAGTATTCTAAACTATACAAGGTATATGGCCATCGTCTGCCCGCAATATACTAAACTAAAACAGGAAGTAATGAAAGCGATGTGCCCGCAGTATGCTAAACTAAACAAGGTATGTACACGTGTACCCGCAGTATACTAAACTGAAACGGTATGTACGTGTACCCGCACTATGCTAATCTAAACAAGGTTATGAACATATCACCCGCACCATACTGAGCAACCAAACAAAGTATGAAAACGATGGTACTCGCAGTATGCTAAACTAAACAAGGTATGTACGTGTTCGCACTATGCTACAAACTAAACAAGGTATGAACATGTACCCGCAATATACTAAACTAAACAAGGTATGAACACGTGTACCCGCAGTATACTAAACTAAACAAGGTATGTACACGTGTACTCGCACCATACTAAACTAAACAAGGTATGTACATCGTGTACCCACAGTATACTAAACGAACAAAGTATGTACACGTGTACCCACACTATGCTAAACTAAACAAGGTATGTACACGTATGTACCCGCAGTATACTAAACTAAACAAGGTATGAACACGTGTACCCGCAGTATACTAAACAAAACAAGTAATGAACACGTCTACACGAAGGATACTAAACTAAACAAGGTATGAACACGTGTACCCGCAATATACTAAACTAAACAAAGTATGAACACGTGAAGCCGCAGTATACTAAACTAAACAAGGTATGTACACGTGTACCCGCAGTATACTAAAACTAAACAAGGTATGTACACGTGTACCCGCAATATACTAAACTATACAAAGTGTGAAAACGTGTACCCGCAGTATACTAAACTAAACAAGGTATGTACACGTGTACCCGCAGTATACTAAACTAAACAAGGTATGTACACGTGTACCCGCAATATACTAAACTATACAAAGTGTGAAAACGTAACCCGCAGTATGCTAAACTAAACAAGGTATGTACACGTGTACCTGCAGTATACTAAACTAAACAAGGTATGTACACGTGTACCCGCAGTATGCTAAACTAAACAAGGTATGAACATTACGTACCCGCAATATACTAAACTAAACAAAGTATGAAAACGTGTACCCGCACTATGCTAAACTAAACAAGGGTATGAACACATGTACCCGCAATATACTAAACTAAACAAGGTATGAACACGTGTACCTGCAGTATACTAAACTAAACAAGGTATGTACACGTGTACCCGCAGTATACTAAACTAAACAAGGTATGTACACGTGTACCCGCAGTATACTAAAATGAAACAAAGTATGTACACGTACCCACACTATGCTAAACTAAACAAGGTATGTAATACATGTACCCGCAGTATACTAAACTAAACAAGGTATGAACACGTGTACCCTTAGTATACTAAACTAAACAAGGTATGAACATGTGTACCCGCAGTATACTAAACTAAACAAGGTATGTACACGTGTACCCACACTATGCTAAACTAAACAAAGTATGAACACATGTACCTGCGGTATACTAAACTAAACAAAGTATGAACACGTGTACCCGCAGTATGCTAAACTAAACAAGGTATGAACACG